TAGGAAACTTGACAAGAACAGAAGAAGAAAAAAGGAATGCCACTCTATGTTGATTTTCTCTGAGTCGGATATAGATGGGCTCACCAAATAACCTGAGAGATTTTAAATTGGTAGGTTTCTTTTCTTTTCTTTAAGATTTTATTTATTTATTCATGAGAGACAGAGAGAGAGGGAGAGAGGCAGAGACACAAGGAGGCTCCATGCAGGGAGCCTGATGTGGGACTCGATCCTGAGTCTCAAGGATCACGCCCTGGGCTGCAGGCGGCGCTAAACTGCTGCGCCACCAGGGCTGCCGGAGGGAGAGAGTCTTAAGCAGACTCTGGGCTAAGCTTGGAACGTGACGTTGGGCTCGATAAGGGGCTCATCTTATGACCTGAGATCAGGACCTGAGCCAAAATCAAGAGTCAGAAGGCTTAACCAACTGCACCACTCAGTTGTCCCTTTCATTTCCTTATTTTAAAACATTTAGGTTATTTCTCATCTTCTAATTTTATGATTACGACTGGATAATATCTTTACACATACAGGCTTTTTGCAATTTTGAACTATTTCCTTATATATTCGCAGGACACCAATGGTTTTTGAATCACATCAACAAATTACTTTTCAGATGGCTTATCATTGTAAAATGCCAACAAGTGTGAGTGAGAGCACTAGTTTCTTTTTTTTTTTTTTTTAAGATTTTATTTATTGATTGATGAGAGACACAGAGAGAGAGAAAAAAAAGAGGCAGAGACACAGGCAGAGGGAGAAGCAGGCTCCATGCAGGGAGCCTGATGTAGGACTCAATCCGGGGTCTCAAGGATCACGCCCCTGGCTGAAGGTGGCGCTAAACCTCTGAGCCACCGGGGCTGCCCAGAGCACTAGTTTCACTGCAGTCTGGTTAGGATTTAGTAATATCATTTAAGCATTTACGATAATGTCATCAGTAAAAAGACATAAATTTGCAATTATTTTATCAGGATAAGAAAATAATGCATAATTTAAAAATTTAAGATAACAAAGCAAGATTTCCTCAAATTTCTCCATTTATGGAAGAAATTTCTAAACATCAGTTAAATAAATGACTTACTGTTCCCCAAGCTTCCAAACCAAAATTCTACTTAAAATGCTATTCTTGGGGCACTGGGCTGGCTCAGTCGGGAAAGCATGAGACTCCTGATCTTGGGGTTTTAAGTTCAAACCTCACATTGGGTATAGAGATTACTTAAAAATAAAATCTTAAAAATAAAATAAAATTATTTTAGTAAGGAATTTTAGTAAGTAAAAAAAAAGTAAAATCTTTTTAGTAAGGAATTGCTTGTCCAGAACAGGAGAGAGGGGAAGAATAAACATGATAAACACCTAACAACTTTTGTCCTAAGTGTATTTCTGGGTTCCAGATAACTGGAACACTTACTTGGATAGCCGCGTGAGTGACAGGACATAAATCCAATCCCAGAGTCCACAGAAAGTGTGAAGTCTAACAGGAGATCCTCCTCTCAGCAAACTGTGACCAAAAGCTGAATCTAGCATAGGACACCTACAAGGAATAATAGCTGGGTTTGAACCTCCTGCATTGCCCAGGAAGCCTAATACCAAAAATGCCGGGTTAAACGCCTGCAGGACTCTGGCAGAAGGATATACATATCATATCTAAAAGAGAATATCTTCATTGTAGGCCTCAAATTATTCCCACAAATATTAGTTTTCAAATGCAATTATCAGTACACAAAGATAACTAGAAACTCAATTAAACTAGACTCTACTCAGGGCGCCAGCACAAACATAGACAAAAAACCCCAGACTGACAGAGACTTCAGATACTGGAATTACCATACGTGACTATAAAACAATTATGCTTACTGGTTTAAATCTATATTGAAGATGCCTTCAAAGAATAGGAAACAACAAAGTGACATAAATTGAAAAAGAACTAAACTAACCTTTTCGAAGTAAAAGACACAGTAATCAAAAGTTAAAAATCACTAGATCCGTTTAAGAGATTAGTCACAGATGAAAAGAAAAATCAATGAAACAATTTGACATTTTACTGGGTTTGATATAGCCTGACATTTGTTCCAGTTTATTCTATATGAATTATGAAATTCTCAAATGGTTGAGACCCAATAACCTGATTTTACATGCCCTGTGCTTTCATTCAACATAATTAAAACTAATAATTGCACCATTTAATGTAACAGTGTCAAGGAATATAATTTTTTTTTAAAAAAGCTCTTATTACAAAACAGGATTCAAATATATATCTCTGACAAATCCCTCAGGTGCGGTGTTGCTAGAAGAAAGTAGAGGCAGCTGACTTCATTAATGCCTCCTTTGTGGCTTTTTCACTCTCAGGCAGAGAGAGGAATCAGGCCAGGAAGAAGACAAGTTTGATTTTTATTCTGGAGTAGGTGGCCTGGACATCTATAACATTTTCCACTGGGAAGGTTTTAAAGTAGTGAACTGCCACCTTGGAGTAAACTTCGTCAAGGTTACAAATATAGAATTAATAAAGAGAGTTTGTTAGACTCAATATTATATTTAGACAGACTCGCTGATTTCCACTGGTCACGTTTTTGCCACTGCAGTGAGACAAAAAAATATGGTCTAAAGAGGTTTGCAAAAAATAAAAAATAAAAAAATAAGAGGTTTGCATAAAGTTTATTTATTTATTTAAAAGAATGGACCTTTTAGAGGATATGTTTCTTTGTTTTTTATTTTGGGGTCAAATTATAATCTAAAATTGAAGTGATGCAGATAATAAATGGCAGTTTTCTTTTTTACAGTTTGGCAACGTTTAAAAATTGCAGTTCTATTGGTTCCAGAATTATTTTGAAAATCTGGATTGATCCACAAAGTCCAGAAGACTGGGAACACCATTGATGTCATCTACCGCTTATTTGTTTAACCAACAAATATTTTGAGAGCCTATGATGTGTTAAGAGAAGGGAGTACAAATAAGAAAATGACTGCACTGTCCTTTCTGCTCACCGTGAGAAAGGAACACATTTAATCCATAGTTACTAAGAAGTTAAGTAGTGCTCGGTCTTCCGGGAGCAGGTCTGAGGGAAAGCCTGTTTGTCTGGGGACTCAATCTCTTACTGAAAGAAGAAATGAGGCTGAAAAGTCTTGAAAATGCACAGGTTTTGCTTGCTGCTGAGAGAAAAGGAATGAAGGGAAGAGAAAACTGTTTAGGGTTGGGAATTTTATTTATTTTTAAGATTTTATTCAAGAGAGAAAGAAAGAGGGAGAGCTTGGTGGGGGGGTGGGCAGAGGGAGAAGCCAACTCCTTGCTTGTTGAACAGGAAGCCCCTATCCCAGACCCTGGGATCATGACCTCAGCCAAAGGCAGACCCTTAACCGATTGAGCCACCCAGGCGCCCCCAGGGTAGGGAATTTTATTTTATTATTGTTTTTTAAAAGATTGTATTTATTTCTTTGAGAGAGAGGGAGCACAAGCAGGGGAAATGGCAGGCAGAGGGAGAGGGAGAAGCAGGCTCCCTGCTCTTCCGGGATGCAGGGCTCAATCCCAGGACCCTGGGACCATGACCCAAGTTGAAGGCAGACTAGGGTAGGGGATTCCCCAGGATAGGGAATTTTCTACAGGAGTTGGGGGACGGTAAAGGCCAAGGCATGGTGATGATGAAAGGGGATGAGCAGGGACACATAAGAGGTTTTTTTTTGTTGGCTTGGCAATGGATTTTGATTTTGTTGTGGTAAAAAACAAACAAAAAACCAAAGCATGAGGATCTCAGGGTCTCAGGACTGAGCCCCTGTCCAGCTCCTTGCTCCGTGGGGAGTCTGCTTATCCTTCCCCCCACCCCCACCCATGCTCTTTCTCTCGAATAAATACAATCTTTAAGAGCCCCCCCCCCCAAAAAAAAATCAAACCATAAAATTTACCATCTTTACCACTCTTAAGTGCACAATTCAGTAAAGTATATTCGTATTTTTCTAAAATAATGACTTTATGCTGCAGGCACCTTAGATTAAGACAACTGAAAGGTTTCAGAACAGGATTGGAGATTTAGGGAGAGTAGAGGGTAGGAGACCTCGCATCCCTTCGTCTCCTTGGGCTGGGTGGGACCCTTGGAGGGTGTAGGAGGACTGAAAGGGATCACAGGATTTAAATAAAGGTTTGTGGGGCCTTGAGTGGGACCCGGTTTCTGGCTGGTGCGGGGCTCTCGCCAGGGGGCAGTTTAGACCAGAACTCCAGGACCGTGACTGAGCACCCCGCGGGGATGGGCCAGGGGATGGCCCTTTGCAGGGGCTGCACCACTTGGCGTTTACGAGCCACATCTGATCAGGATGTGTTCTGCTAAAGCCCTACAATCAAACACAATTTTTTTTTTCTTTGCGTCACCTGCACAAAATGAAAAACTTGGCGATTTCCAGCTTTTCTTGAAAAATTAAAATATCTGGGACAGTGGACTCCTAGTCCCTCGAGGAAACCATCACATTAACCCGCATCAACGTATAACGAGCGCCTGGAAAAGCACGCGTGTGACCGGACGCTCACAGGGGACGTTCCCCACTAACCAGCGGTCCTATCAACGTGCACACACTAGCATCTCCAAAGTCATACTTACTTGATCCTACTAGTCACCTGATGAGGCGGGTATAGATCATATTACAATCTCCTTTTTAAATACGAGGAAACTGAAGCACAGACAAGTCACGGGGCTAAGTACGGGGGCTGGCATTTGAAACCGGACCTGCTGCCCGACTCCAAACGCCACACTCTCCACAAGAAACAGGCGAATCGCTAGGTTCGCTGCCCGTAACGCGGAGGGGCTGCCGCCTGCCACGGAAACCTCCTTCCGGGCGTCAGAGCCGCGGAAACCAACGCACCCGGAGCCCGCGGCAGAGGCCCCTCCCCGCCAGGCCCCGGGACGGCCGTCCGCGCCGCGCGGTCTCCACACACGTGAGGGCGCTGTCGCAGCTACCGTCGCAGTTCCTGTTTCTGTTGTCGCGATATTCTTGACGCCGGAAAAAACGCAAGATCGAAGGTCACGCAGATGGCACGCCTCTCCCAGGACGCCTAAGTTCTCGCGTGAGTTGCACTTCCGCCCTTTTGGCTCCCGCAGCAGCGCCATGGCGGTCGGCAAGAACAAGCGCCTTACGAAAGGCGGCAAAAAGGGAGCCAAGAAGAAAGTGTAAGTGGCTCCTCTCCTGGCGCCCAGCCTTCTGCGGCTACGCTGGGCTCGGCGGGCGGGTTCTAGACGGCAGCGGGGGCCGGATGGCGAGGATGCCCGATGGATTGTGAGGGCCGTGCAGGGTTGGCAAACCCGGCACGGCGCCCTGACGGCGACGGTGCTGCGCCGGCGCGGGCCGCCTTCTGGTCTTTGGCCCTCTGGGTCTTGTGCGCGTCTCTTCTGAGCTAAACTCGACGCTGCACGGGGACGGCGCGTTCCGTATTGTGGGCTCCCGGGGTTTGCAGACCTCACGAGCAACCGGTCGTACTGCTCCCAAGGCTGGGGTTGAGGAGGTCCCTCTCCACCCAGGACCTCGCACCCCGTCGTCTCCCTGGGCTGGGTGGGACCCTTGGAGATCCTAATGAGCTCGGGTGGGTCCCTGAAGAGCCTGGGCTGCCAGTACGCGTTTGCTGCCCCGGTAAAGTTGAAGGGACGTGCGTGTTCTTCGGAGGCCGTGCTGCTTGTGTAGTCGCAGAGCCGACGCGGCGGGGAGTTGGGTGCGTTCGGAGCGTCCGGGTGGGACGGTGAAGCGGACATCGCCGGCAAGAGCTGGGTTCGCACACGCGCCCCTCACGTCACTGGGAGGAGCAGGTTCTTCCCAGGTTCCGGTTGCTAACGTGCCAGTTAGGTCTTCAAAATCATTAGAACGAGGAAAGTTTTAAAAGTTCAGTAAGGATAACGTGACCTACGATAAAACTCACGTAAGTGTTCTGTGAATACAGGGTTGATCCATTTTCTAAGAAAGATTGGTATGATGTGAAAGCACCAGCTATGTTCAATATAAGAAATATTGGAAAAACGCTAGTCACAAGAACTCAAGGAACCAGTGAGTATTTTATTCTTGTTTTGTATTTTTCATAAATTAAGGTCTACTGGTGGTTCTGTGGTGGAAGAATTAAGAAAATACCTCTTGGTTGCAGCTTTGGCTACTGTGATGCTTAATGTCTGGTAAAAACACTTGTAGAGAAAAGGTGGGGCCTTAGATGGACTAAGAAAATGTGCAAAGGCTCTTAGCACTGTCCGTCATCGGTGTCCAGATGGATTCGATTAACAAAAGTTAGGGTCTTGATAACTTACCATTAACTTTCTAAGTTCGACTTTAGCGTAAATGTTCTTTGTTGGCTTGGCTTTGTGTGGTTCTTACTGTTAATAAGACAATTCTTGTTTTATAGAAATTGCGTCTGATGGTCTCAAGGGTCGCGTTTTTGAAGTTAGCCTTGCTGATCTGCAGAATGATGAAGTTGCATTTAGGAAATTCAAGCTAATCACTGAGGATGTGCAGGGCAAAAACTGCCTGACTAATTTCCATGGCATGGATCTTACCCGTGACAAAATGTGCTCCATGGTCAAAAAATGGCAGGTGAGAACAAAAGTTCCTTAGGATGGTGCTTTGGCGTGAGTGGCCAAGGATGGCCTGTTACAATAAGAAAGGAGCATGTGTGTTTGAAGCGCATTGCATTTTAAATCCTTGATGTTTGCTTTTACCAGAGTGCTGACTCTGGGATTGGCACTCTTGAAATTGAGTAAAGGAGTAAGCAAGCCATGATCCTCCCATTTAAGTGGAGTTTAAGACTTGTTTATTTACTTGTCTATTTTCTTGCAAGTTTTAAAGTTGGGTTTTCAGAGTTAGAGTGGCAGAGCTCCTGGTGTGAGGTTGGAATCTTGGCTCCATTTCCCAATTGTGTTCTCTTTGGCAAGTAACTTACAGCTTGCTAATAATAAGCCCCTTGATGCCTTTATCTAAAATGGTGGGTATCACCTCTTAGAGTTATGAAGATGAAATAAGAGCCAGGTAAACATGTTTAAGTACAGCTTGACACAAAGCCTTTAGAAAGGATCGTTCTAGGAAATAATGACATTGGTTCAGATGTGTCTGGCTAAACCATTCGGTTTGGGGATGGGGATGTCATGTATATGGGAATGAGTGATGACAAAATGTTTCGGTCCCAAATGATGCATATTGATTATACCGCTACATTTACTTCTGACATTCCCTAAGATTTTTATGTTTGAATTTCTGGAAATATTTTAAGGTTCTTTTGCTGTAAGTGTACTACTCATTTTTTTAAAACTGAAGTATACAAAATACAGAGGTATTTCAGTTTTTGTTGCTACCCAAGAGTAGTAGTCATTTTTTAACTTTAGGCAATAATATAAGTAGTTGTGGATTTTTTATTACATTTTAGCTGTGAAAATGATTATTTACTCGTCATCAGGCTTTAGTTTGGAGCATGATGGACATTTAAAAATAGTGCATTTAGTGTTAGAGCGATATTTCACCTATTCAGACATTTTTTAAAAAGGTAAGTGTATGTAGAGTCTCTTAACCGTGTTTCTCACATAGAGTCATACAGTTGATGGGTGGGAAGGATAGACTATTAAAGGCTGGCATGTAAAATCTGGGGCTGGGTGCTGTTGAGATGGGGATAGAAGTGTTACCTAGAGAAGAAGAGTTGAAGGGACTGTGTTTATTTTATTAGATATGAAAGATAGTAAGATTTGGAGTAATTGTTGCTAAGTTCACTTCAAGGAGGTGCTGTGAATTAGGCATGTAGTTTATATTATACTTTATATTGTATGATGAGTACTTTTTCTAGCTTTTTTTGTATTAGAATATGAGGGCTATAAATTGATAACCTTAAAACCTGGTATATCTGACAATATCTTTTTTTCACTAGACCATGATTGAAGCTCATGTTGATGTAAAGACTACCGATGGTTATTTGCTTCGTCTGTTTTGTGTTGGTTTTACTAAAAAACGCAATAATCAGATTCGGAAGACCTCTTACGCTCAGCACCAACAGGTCCGCCAAATCCGGAAAAAGATGATGGAAATCATGACCCGAGAGGTGCAAACAAATGACTTGAAAGAAGTGGTCAATAAATTGTAAGTGTTTCTTTTCCTCATACCACATAACTCTGAATCTCTGATTATCCCTGAGCTGAAGGAAAGTGTATGAAACAAGGTGGAAGTCAGACCTGTGTTTAAATCTTGTCTGTGAGACGCTTAAGTATATCTCTTGAAATGAAAGCATGTTAAGTGCTCAGTAAATGTGATTTGGTTTCTTTATTTTGTTGAAGCAGTCTGAAGGCAGACCGCTTGTGAGACTTGAAGCATAGGAAATGATTTTGTCTTAATTAGAAAATAGGCAAAACTTGCCACCGTGAATAATGTATGGGAATAGATGATGACAAAATGTTTCGGTCCCAGATGACAACCACTGATAAAACTTAACATTTTTCTGATGTTCCCATGCAGTTGGCTAAGAGGGTGGAAGAGAAAAGGCAGAATGCTCAAATGCTTACTCTCCTACTAACTAGCTGTATAATTCGGATCATTTAACCTCTAGCTGTAAAAGTGCAATAAAAGATTGTCTAATGTGAAGATTTGAGTGGATTAAATAAGGCAGGTATTGATATTTATAAGTTTATCCTTTTCTGTCATTACTGGTTTACAGGATTCCAGACAGCATCGGAAAAGATATAGAAAAAGCTTGTCAGTCTATTTATCCACTCCATGATGTTTTTGTTAGAAAAGTAAAAATGCTGAAGAAGCCCAAGTTTGAATGTAAGTGAAAAATCTTAGATTCGGGGGGGGGGGGGCAGCGGAGTGTGGCCAGATACATTTGAGGGTTTTTTTTTCTTTTTTGGGGGGCCAGATGATGGCTTTTCTGTCACCTTATGGTATTGAAGGCCATTGTCTTAAGACAGCGGTGTGCTGTTAACTTTTTTTTTTTCTTTTAGTGGGAAAACTCATGGAGCTTCATGGTGAAGGTAGTAGTTCTGGAAAAGCTACGGGGGATGAGACCGGTGCTAAAGTTGAACGAGCTGATGGATATGAACCACCAGTCCAAGAATCTGTTTAAAATTCAGACATTTAATGGTGACAAATAAAAACATATTTGTGATGTTTAATTTCTTATTCTTTTTAAATAATCAGGCTCGGTGAAGCAGATGTTCTGAACTGACAGTGCGAACTTTTCAGAACTGTTGTATGGATCTTATCCATTGCTCTTGGCTACTAAATAACTACAAAAGGGTAGTGATCTATTTTAAGCTGTAGTGATCTGGATGGACGTGTTCTAGATGGTTAATAAAAGGAAACTTTTTTTAACATGCATGTTTTCAGCTGGTTCTTAAACCATCTGGAAGGCTTGTTAAAATAGAAAAAGTAGATCTATATACCCCCCCCCCTTTTGGGCAATAAGCAATGTTTTTTAAAGATTTTATTTATTCATGAGAGAGGCAGAGGGAGAAGCAGGCTCCCTGCAGGGAGCCTGATGTGGGAGTCGATCCCCACGACCCGAGGATCACCACCTGAGCCAAAGGCAGGCAGACAACCACTGAGGCACCTAGGCGTCCTCATTGAGATCATTTTGGAGCAAGCCACTATTATTACCACCTGGACTGTTAGCTGCCTACCTGGTTCCCTTAGGTACCACCTTAAGGTAATAAGAGGTCAGAAGCAAGATTACATGAGCCTTGACTGAATGGCCCAGGTGATCTTGCCTCTGACCTCCTATTACTGTACCCCTAATGTTTCTAGCCAGGTTGTCCTTACTATTCTGGGTGGGCTAGGTATGTTCTAAGGCTTGTTTTCTCTGCGTATGGAATACTGTTCCCTTAAATGCCACAGTGCTTGTTCCTGTACCTCGAAGTCTCAGTAGATCCTAATGATGGGCTTGGCCTATTAAAAATTGTACCCTGTCCTCCAGCATTCCCAATTCCCATTATTTTTCTATAGTTTTCACTTGTATCTACTAGAATACTCCATGAAGTGTGGGGTACCTTCCACTCAGGTCATGATCGTGGAGTCCCTGGCATTGGGCCCCCCTGCTCAGCAGGAAGTATGCTTCTCCCTGTCTGCCCTTCACCTCAATCTGCTTTTTCAATAAAAAATTTTAAAAAGTATTCCTAGAATATTGTACGAGGATTGCTGTATCTCCATTGCCTAGAAGTGCAGTGTTTGTTGAATTAAAGGAATGAATGATATTCCCTACTAATATCCCATAGTGAAGCAAATGTTTTCAATAAAACAATTGTACATTTGGATCTCAAATGACCGGGACTTTCCAGGGTGGACGGAAGTTGGGTCTAAAGAGGCCTCATTAAGGGGTAGGTGCCATGAATTGGGTTAAATGTTTTATCTTTGTGCTGGACATCATTTAGATAAAATCAGTAGCCAAACTCCAATCTGCTACATCTGCACAGGTCTTGGCACAGCTCTTTTAGCTTTTTTTTTTTTTTTTAAGATTTTATTTTTTCGAGAGAGGCAGAGACCTAGGCAGAGGGAGAAGCAGGCTCCTCACAGGGAGCCTGATGTGGGACCGTATTCCAGGACCAGGATTATGCCCTGAGCCGAAGGCAGACACTCTACTGCTGAGCCACCCAGGCAACCCAGCTCTTTTAACAAAGGTTCATTTGAAAATGGTTTGGCCCGTTTGATGGTGGGTTTACTCAAGTTCTCTTCTAAGCCAACTTGAAGGTGGGTAACATCCATCCAGTGGAAGCTCCTGTAAAGGGTAATTGTTTCCTGTTTCCCGTATTAAGTATCTTACAAACTTAATACATAGAATATGTGTGGCTTTTATCTATTAATTGGAACAGTTTTACTTTGGTCTTAGAAAACAACTGTTGTTACCAGGGATACAGGAATCTTCAAAAATTGGTTACTGAAGGTCACCGAAGACCTTTGTGTTAGGGCATGATCGGATCGGGCAGCAAAACTAACACTTGATCTGAAAGCTGGCTTTTGCTTTTTGTTTTTTTAAATTGGCTTTTGCTTCTTGAATGTGTACATCTGAGTAGTACTACTCATTTGGAAGCGTGTACTAACGTGACAGATCACACTGGTCACTTCACAGGAAGATGGGGTACAATGCAAACTGCAGTGACATAACGACTCCCTGTTTTGCGTCACCCATCTGAAAAGACCCCTTCAAAGATGCGATACATAAAATCTCATTACAAATCAGCGCTAATAGGTGAATATTTGCAGTTGATGGGGACTGCTGACTTGAACACTAAGGGAGATGTCATCCTCAACTCCAAAAGAAAGACTTCTATTAAGAAAAATTACTCAACTGTACAGTGTCAACTTTGTTAATAAAAATTTTGTGGAGATTTTGTTTCTGCTCCTCATGCCTACACGGTATCCTTAAATTTGCACATTGGCCCTTTAGAGATAAAGCTTATTGACACCTGCTATAAATACGGAAACAGCATTCAAATTAACTGGTAGAGTTTGGGCAGAACTTGCAATGAAATTAACAAGTATTTTCTAAATAAATTGTGTGTGCGTGCGCGCGTGCCTGTGCCTCTGGGTCAGTCTAGTGTACTACTACATATCCTGCTGCTAAGCCTGAGATCTATCCCATTCAGAGCACTGCTACTTCTAGAAAAGTTAATAGGACAAGCTCCCCTGCCATTCCTTACCAGCAGGTGGGCCAGGATTTAACACAGGGGCCTCAACCCTTTGATGGCCAGTATTTTCACTATATAGATATCCCATTAGCTGGATAGTCCGAACCCTCAGTCTCATAGGCCTTGACTGGTTTTTATCACCCAATAGGGATGTTTCCCAACTCTTGGATGCTTTGGGTATTGGAGACAGCATAGGTCTCAGTAAATGGGCCTTCCTGGTCAAGTAAAAATTGCAGCAGCTTTAGCATCTTCATTTTGCATGAAGCACTAATAGTTACTCCGGAAACCATGCCTCCCACCCCACGGCCTGAAGCACAGCTGCTGGCTCATCAGGGCTCTCACTTCATAGAGATCCCCTAAATACACCATCTCAATCACTGGTGGCTCAGCTAAGTTGAAAGCTGATGGTATTCTTTATGCTGTGCAGAACTGAAGTGAGTGTGGTCACTGCTCAGTGGGATGAACTCCAGGCGGTTCTCAGATCTGCCAATTCCTCCCTTGATGAACAGTCCCCTTTGCTGACTTTGCCCGTGGCTCAGCCATCTGGTTTGCCACTTGAAAGACTTGTTCAGGCAGATAAAAAATAAATGCATGTAAATAATGCCTCTGGTAAAGTCCAGCTCTGACATGAGCTGGTAGAATCAAACTACTGATCAAGCCTGCACCACCCAAACTGCCCCCCTCCACCGGGCCACACGTTCACTGTTGGGGCTGTGCACACAGTAAATAAACTCTTTCTTGGTGTATGCCAGACTTGTGCCTCCTGCCAAAAGTTGGCTCATTTGTTTCGAGGTAAATGAAGGCACAGACTGATAGACTGCCTATATTGCCACTGCTCAGAGCGACTGATGGTGTCTCAGCGCTGTTGACACATTTTTAGGTTATGTTGCTGGTCCAATCTGATCAACTGACCAAACAACTGTAGCCCTTGAATCTAATATCATATGTGCCATGTTCTTGGTCTGGAAAACCAAGAGTAGCAAAGAGTATCTGATGGCTATTTCATGGCTTTCTACTACCCACAAATATCTAGCACTGTTGAGAATTGAGAACAGGTTTCTGATTCTACCACCCTCACCTTTACCTGTCCTACATACCTGAGTAAGGTAGTTGGCGTTACAGAATATGGCAATCCTGAGGAAAGCATCGTCTCCTCTGTGCTGCCTCCTGGGTGATAATCAGGACAAAAGGTCTGCGTGAGAGTGGGGTTGACTGGAGAAAAGATGAAATTATAAATATCTTTCCCCAGCACCGAAGGAGAAAACAGGCCCTAGGAGGGAGGGAGGGGCAGCGATTAAGGTACACTGTTATCTAGGTCATTCTGTCGTGGCACTATTAGTATTTTAGGCCGGATAACTCAATGTTGTGAGGGGCTGTTCTGTGCATTGTGGGGTGTTTAGCAGTACCACTGACCTCTACCCACTAGCTGCCAGTAGCACCTTTCCCCTAGCTGTGACAAAAGGGTCTTTGGGCGTTGCCAAATGTCCCCTGGGAGGAGAAATTGCTCCCAGCTGAGAATGGCTAACCTTAATCCGAAACTGTTACTTAGGGACGCCTGGGTGCCTCAGCGGTTGAGCGTCGGCCTTCAGCTCAGGGTGTGACCCTGGGGTCCCAGGACTGAGGCCCACATCAGGCTCCCTTCAGAGAGCCTCTCTCTCTGTCTCTGTGTGTCCCTCATGAATAAATAAATACTTAAAAAAAAAAGAAACAAAACCCAAAACTGTTACCTAAATCATGTGGCAGTTGCAGCGAACAGTGACCTGCTGCTGGGTTTGTCATGTGTCCATGTGCTATGAAAACAAGAAACCTCATCTAGACATAGTTGGTTCTGAACTATTCTGCTACGCCTGATGCCATCAACGGTAGCTCCCAGATGCAAACGTGCACAAACTCAAAGATCAACACAAACTTCATTCAGTCTGATCACATGGCAAAAATGGCAAGTGGAGCTGCAACTATTTGGTGACACTGTCCATGTGATTTAAACCAATGTGATGATGATTCAAATCAGGTTTAACAAATTCTGAAGTGAAGGGACTTCTGTCCTTTTGGTCATATTTTTGGATGGGAAAAAAATGAGCAAGGGTTGCTTTTTCGCCCATCTACTGCCCCTCTAACTATTGCCAATGACACCAAAGATCAGCGGGTCAGCTGAAGCTCACTTGTACGGTTCATAATGAATAATGGCCTGGCCTTGGACCGCATCGTGGCTGCCTCAAAGAAGAGCTACTGCTACCCTCTAGGGCTTCCTACACAGCTGGCTAAGTGTGGAATCCTGGTGAGAATGAGGTCAGTACCACACGCTGGCTTTGTCTGTTGCTTCAAGTCTTACAGATAATAGTCGTAGTTACACATGCTGTGCGATTCTAACCTCTTGATTAATCAGAGTGGTTGGTGGAACACATTCGTGTAAAAAGTCCAATCTGGCCAAGGAGGCCTCTGTCGCACTGAGCAGTGATTTGGGAGGCACCTGCCACAGAGCCCGCGTGTCCCTGCGTGCCCTCGGGGAGTACGCTAAGAATACAGTTCTCTGTCTGCTCTTTACGGGGCCGTTTCTCAGGTTTGGTTTGCATCCCTGTGAGCAATCTTGAGGGGTGATGTGATGTCTCCCCCTGGACAAGGAGCAGGCTTGCTTCCGCTTAGTGCAAGAGCTAAGCCTCAGTGCTCCTCTTCTGTAACCCAGCCCCCTGGATCACGGGCCCTTTGCGTTACGTCTGTGGGATCTGAGGAGCCCGGGAACTGGAACAAATGAACATGAGGCTTCGGCTGTTGGTTTGCTGTAACAGAGTCCTTTAATTTCTGACCCAGGAGTCTCATGTCTTTTGCCAGCATCCCTGAGACTGTGACAGGCCAACTTTCCAGCTTGTAAGTTGGGTAAAATGTCAAAACACTGCACAGCTCTTGACACGTTCTCCTCAATTATTCTGAAGCAAATTTTAGATATTAAATGTAAATGATTCCTTAAAAAGAAAACATAACCACAATCCTATTAATATACTTCTAAATTTCAATAATTTAATAGTATTAAATATCTAGTCACGCCAATTTAATTGATTAATCCTCTATTGGATATAACACTGTGATAGGCAATGCAAGTGTGAAAGCAAGTGTAGTGAGCTTCCACTTGCTAAGACCACTCATGAAGTCAAGGTTAAGAAATTATTGCAGGGGACGCCTGGGTGGCTCAGCGGTTCAGTTAGTTAAACATCTGCCTTTTGGCTCAGTCATGATGTCAGGGTCCTGGGTTTGAGCCCCATGTCTGGCTCTCTGCTCACCAGGAAGTCTGCTTCTCCCTCTCCCTCTGCTCTTTCCCCCTGCTTGCATGCTCTCTTTCTTGCTCTTTTACTCTCTCAAAATAAATCATAAAATCTTCAACAACAACAAAAAAAGGACAAACCAAATGCTGGTTAAGGAGTGCAGTAACTAGAACTCTTAAATATCATTAATGGAGTGTAAAATAGTACACTTTGGAAAACAAGCAGTTTCTTAATTTTAAGATTTATTTTAGCGAGCGAGTGAGTGAGCAAGAGTGGAGGGAGGGGCAGGGGAGAGAGAATCTCAAACAGACTCCCTGCTGAGCAGGGCTCAATCCCAGGACCCTGAGATCATGACCTGAGTTGAAATTAAGAGTTGGCCACTTAACCAACTGAGCGACCCAGGTGCCCCAAACAGGCAGCTTTTTAAGAAAATTAAATATGTCTATTTCACTCCATAACAATTTAACTATGTTATTTCATTTTTATGATAATCTAGAGCAGGCAAAATGAATCTTTGGTGATAGAAATCAGAACAGTGATTGTCTGCTGGGGGAAGGAGGTGGAGGAGGAGGGCGAGATGTGATGACTGACTGGAAAGAGGCATGAGAAAATTTCGATGGTGATGGAAATGTTCTATGTATTTATTGATACTTATGAGTATACAGAATTGTCAAAACTCACAGAATTATATACTTAATATCTATACATTTTATGCAAATTATGCTCTAATTTAAAAAAAAAAGTGGATCTAACCAACTAGGTCATGGACATGTGGCATTTTAGCGTCTGTCCCATTCTGGGATATGCCTCCCACACTATGAACTTACTCCTTCCTACCTACTTAGGTCTGGAACCAAATCTAAACATACCTCTCTGTCGTGGGCTTCTTGGCTGCCATGGTATTCAGGACTTTGGCTCCATGTACGGCTCTGTATGGTGGCTTGGGCACCACCCCCAGGAAATCACATGGCTAGATCTGATCGTACTGTCCAACATTCCAGTGCTTACGGTTATTATTGCCATCTATGGCCTGATGCCAGTGGTCCTTATTACCAAATCCTAAAGAAGAAAACCTTACTTTCTGCAGTTGGGCACCAGCTTGAGTGACTTGGCTGCTGGCTTGTAGGGATCATCAGTATTGAGGTCTGCCTGGCAGCCCTATTTGTGGGAGTAATTCTGAGTTTCATCTTTCCAGGGGTACTCAGGTTCTTTGATCTTATCATTTGCCCTTCTTCTCTTTATCAAGTAGTCCCTCCTTGTGTCCATCAAATACAATGTGCTTTAGCAGCCATCCATCTCTATCTAGTGGGAACAGACCTGACACACTTGCATAGGGGCAATCCTCCCACTGGGTAGTTAGCCTTCTAGAGGCATGGTGCTTTAGTGCTCTATAATCTGTTGCTCTTGGACCTTGCCCCAAACTCTCTCATGGTAATGGACAATGAACCTTCTCATAGCCCAGCGAAACCCCTCTGACCACCAGCAATGATGCAGGCCTCTGCTCACTAATATTTATTTTCCCTTAGAGTGGTCTGTATATATAAACAGATTGGATAATTTTTTCATCACTGTGTATTTATTTTTTAATAGCTTTGACATTTCATATGTCTAAAGAGAAGACACCACAGTCTCCTCGGTACAGGCATAACTCATTTTATTGCATTCCATTGCACTATGCAGAAACTCTTTTTGGTTTTTTTTTTTTTGTTGTTGTTGTTTTTACAAATTGAAGGTCTGTGGCAACCCTGCATCAAGTAAGCCTATCAGTGCCATTTTTCCAATAGTATTTGCTCAGCGTGTGTCTCTGTGCCACATTTTGGTAATTCTTGCAATATTTCAAACTTTTTCATTATTATTATATTTATAATGCTATCTGTGATCAGCGATCTTTGATATTATTATCGTTTCCCCGAGGCCAATAATGTTGAAATTAGGCCAATTAATAATCCTACGATGGCCTCTAAGTGCTCCAGTGAAAGGAAGAGTTGCATCTCTCTCACTTTAATCAAAAGCTAGAAATGATTATGTTTAGTGAAGGAGGCATGTAGAAAGCTGAGATGGGCCAAAAGCTAAGCCTCTTGCATGAAAGTTAGCCAAATTGTGAATTCAAAGGTAAGTTCTTGAAGAAAAGGGAAGGTGCTACTCCAGTAAACACATGAATGGTAAGAAAGTGAAACATCCTTACTGGTGACACAGAGAAGTTTGAGTGTCTGGATAGAAGCTCAGACCATCTGCAATATTCCCTTATGCCAAAGCCTAATCCAGAGAAGGCCTGAACTTCTTCAATTCTATGATGGCTGGGAGAGGTGAGGGAGCTTCAGAAGACAAGTCTGGAGCTAGCAGAAGCTAGTTCATGAGGGTTAAGGTAAAAAGCCATCTTTATAACATCAAAGCGCAAGGTGAAACACCAAGTGCTGATGGAGAAGTTGCAGCAAGTTATCCGGAAGATCCAGCTAATATAATTCATTAAAGTAGCTACACTTTACTGAACAAAAGATTTTCAATGTAGATGAAAAAAAGTGTATGTTGGAAGAAGACACCAACCACCTAGGACTTTCATAGCTAGAGAGGAGAAGTCAATGTCTGTCTTCAGAACTTAAAAGGACAGGCTGACTCTTGTTGGGAGCTAATGCAGCAGGTGACTTTAAGTTGAAGCCAGTGTTCATTTATCATTCCTCAAATCCTAGGCCCTTACAAGTGCTGGTAAATCTACTCCGTGTGCTCTATTAGTGGGACAATGAAGCCTGGAAGACAACTCATCTGTTTACAACATGGTTTATTGAACATTTTAAGCTCACTGTTGAGCCCTACTGCTCAGAGAAGAAGATTCCTTTTGAAATATGACTGCTCACTGACAATGCATCTGGTCACCCAAAAACTCTGATGGAGGTGGACGTCATCGTTTTTCATGCCTGCTATCACAACGTCCATTCTGTGGCCCATGGATCAAGGAATAATGTCAACTTTTGAGTGTTCTTAATGAAATGAAATACATTTCACAAGGCTACAACTGCCATAGATAGCTTATTCCTCTATTGCATCTGGTCAAAGTAAATTGAAAATCTTCTGAAAGGATCCACCATTCTAGATGCCATTAAGAACAGTTATGATTCATGAGAAGATGTCAGAATATCAACATGAACAGGAGTTTGGAAGAAGTTGATTCCAATCTTGAAGGATGACTTTGAGGAGTTCAAGACTTCAGTGGAGGAAGTAACCGCAGATGTGGTGGGAAAAGCAAGAGAACTAGAACTAGAGGTGGAGCCTGAATGAGACTGAATTGCTGTGATCTCATGGTAAAACTTGGAGGGATGAGAAGTTGCTTCTCATGGATGAGCAAAGAAAGTGATTTCTAGAGATGAAATCCATCCCTGGTGAGGATATTGTGAAGACTGTTGAAATGACAACAAAGGATTTAGAATATTCTGTAAATTTAGTTGATAAAGCAGCAGCAGGGTTTGAGGACTGGCTCCAATTTTGAAAGAAGTTCTACTGTGGATAAAATGCTATTAATTGGCATCACATTACAGAGAAATTGTTCATGAAAGGAAGAGTCAATTAGTGTGGCACACTTCACTGTTGTCCTATTTTAAGAAACTGCCACAGCCACCCCAGCCCTTAGCATCACCTTCCTGGTCAGTCAACAGCCATCAACATCGAGGCCACACCCTCTGTCAGCAAAAAGATTACAACTTACCGAAAGCTCAGATATGGTTATCATTTTTTGGCAATAAAGTATTTTAAAGTTAAGGTATGTAAATTTTTTTTGACATGATGCTACTGCACACTTGATAGCCTATGGTATAGTATACACAGAATTTCTATTTGTACTGGGAAACCAAAATATTCATCTGACTTGCTTTATTGTGATATTCACTTTATTGCAGTGGTCTAGAACTGAATCCCCAATATCACTGAGGTGTGTCTGTACAAAGCAATCCTAGAGTACTGCATTGAACGCTTAGTTACATGCTCTGATGCTGTTTGGAATTAACAACTCTGCTCTTCAGTCATAAGCTACCTGGGATTCGGAAACAATGTGGTGGGCCTCTGTGGTCCTCTGAGTCAGGGCTCTATTGAATAAAAAAACTTAGGTATGATTGAAGAAATAAATGCCGCTGTCCTTTTAATTGTAAAGAAGAACTAAATATGGGTATTTTGGTATTAAGAGTCTCAGTTGATTTCTGTTAAAAGAGGACAGATAATTAATAGGTGATTTTCCTTTCTAAATTATGAATTTTAATTGATACTTCTCCTGAAAGTTAAATCATTGAGTTATTGCCTAATTTACAGTATTTGAAGAAAAATAAATAACCCAGGGCTTACATACAGATTCTTTCTTTAAAAAAAGTTCAGGATATATCCCAGACTCTGAAATATAAATTTATTACCTTAACACTGCCTGAGTTAATCTATTAGACTCCAAAATACTAAAAAAAAAAACAGTGTTTTGCACTATATGTGTATGAAAACCTAGAGTTAGGAATTTTTTGCTCCTACCAAGAACACAGCCCTACAGACAGACTTTTTCATGACCTAATGTTTCAAGCATTCATAAATTCCCTATTAAGCAAAAAGGAATCCCCATCAATAGATCAGTTCATGTTTGAATTTCTAGGTAATCAGTTAATATACAAATTGCCTACATAAAACTGAGAAACTAAGCAGGAATTTTCTTTTTTTCTTGAAGAGAAAGAAATTCAAGGCTTTAATTAATCCCCTCAATTCATTCTAACCACAAGTATTATACCTGAGAAGTTATGTTTACAGAACAATAAATCAGATCAAATCTACTTGTTTAATTGCTAAAGAGAAATGGTTTACTTTAGCATCACAAATGGAAAAAGGTACTCAATTGGGAATCAGTAGAGCCAGCTAGGTTTTGCTCCGCCGTCCCTGTATGACCTTAGGCAAATAAATCATTTAACCTGTGCAGGTTGAGTTCTGGTCTGCAGACCCTTCCGTCATTTAACAGGATGAGCTTGCAATTAGGAGAGAGGCCCCTAGATGGTGCTGCTGTTCTGACTTAGGCTTTGTATTTTTTCCTCCACTATAATTACAGCGAAGTAAAAAGGCATAGGTTAGAAATGATTTCCTATTAGTTTGAAAAAATTCACTATTAAGTATTCAAAATGGCATTGAATTATGAATCATATGGGCCACATGCATCTGGCACTAATTAAAAGGGATAAACCATTAATGACTATAACAATGACTTACTCAGTTAAGAAACTGAATAAAAAAAAATTATTAAGAGTACTGATGTGTAACAGATACCATAGGAAAATATTTTGTTTTTTTTTCAAATGTTAGTTCTAACAATAAATCTTGATAAATACACTGATTGTTTTTCACTATGAATGTTTCAGGATATATGTAAAACCTATGATTTCCAGGAGCACAATGACAGATACATTACATTACCTGCCCCTCACATAAACAAGGACATCTTTTAAAAATCTAAAGTTTTTCAAAAGATGATAATGATGTATTAAATGACTTCCCTTGTTTCAACCTACTAAAGAAAAAGGATCCCAAGATTCTAGTTTGAGAAAGCTTGGACGCACAATATCAAGTTTCACCTAAAATTATGGAAAGGAAAAAGAATACATTCCTATTTCTCCCCTATGAAATTCACTGAGTATAAAAATTGCATTCAATCAATACAGAGAACAAGGAGGTACCTATGAAAACCCATACTGAGCAACATCATGGCCTTTTATCAGTTGAGTGGGTAATAAGTGGCAAGCAAAAAATATAGTCATGAAGGAATGAAATGATACAAAACTGTGAATTTTGTCTCAATAAAGATTTTTGTCAACAAGTTAAAGAGGGGGAATCCCTGGGTGACTCAGCATTTAGCGCCTGCCTTTGGCCCAGGGCATGATCCTGGAGTCCCAGGATTGATTGAGTCCTGCATTGGGCTTCCTGCATGGAGCATGCTTCTCCCTCTGCCTGTGTCTCTGTCTTTGTCTCTCACTCTGTGTCTCTTATGAATAAATAAATAAAATCTTAAAAAAAAAGTTAAAGAGCAAAGATATTGGATCTTTGGGGATTCAAGACAGTATTGCTACATGTGAAAGCTTTCCATCCAACCAATCAATCATCCAACCCCCACCAACCAACAAACCAACCTTTATTGAGCTTATATGGTGCAAAGGGCTGGAGATACAAAGGTACCATCTCCATTCTCAAAAAACTCAGTGTAGTATGAGAAAAGGACTTTGAAAAGTTCAGTTCAGTTTATTATAGTGTCAAGTAGATTTACAACTATTGCACTTATCATTCTGCTAACACAAGGCCGAAATTTAAGAGGGATTTTTTTCTCCAATAAAGCTAGGCTTTCACGATCTTTGATAAATGATGTCAAAATTACAGGCAAAATAATACACCTCATGTCCTATTCCACACACATCCTCCACTTCTTGCCGTTGTGCACCCCACTGCAAATAAGGATGTAGTTGAGATAATGCTCTAAGTCATTAATTCCTCATGAAATTACTCTTAAGTGAGATTTGACAAGAGTTTTCTTTATACTGTCCTCTTTAGCCAAAATGTAAAACAAAACAAGCCCAGCTCCCATACTCCAAAATCAATTAACCATATAACTGGAAGATGAACTTCCCTCAAAGACAAAGGGAACATCTCCTCCTTTATAGAACCCCACATGGCATTCACATAACGACAACTGGTGCCTAACTTTCTGGACAGTGGCAAACAATATGACAAAAGCTAAAAAGTGGCCAAGCATACAAAACTCTTCTCAAAAACAGAAGAAAATTGTGAAGGTTGTTGGGGAAGTGTTTTACATTTCCAACGAAATGCTATTCCATTGATCTGCTTGGAAGATTGTCTTCGACCTGTTTGGGCTAAGCCCATAAACTGTAATTGATTCAGTCACATGAAGAACCACTTTCATCTTAAGTCTGGAATGTATAACAAATGGATAGGAGGAAAGTGGTTTTTTATTTACCCTAGTAATTTCTGCAGGAATGAGGTGGAGAAAAAAACCCAAAGAAGTATCAGCCTTCAGTCTTCTTAAATTACTTTTCATTCTGATTACAGTGGGAAGAAATGAGCTATGGGGGTTTGGTGTTTTCTGTTTTAACAGTTGCTTTGTATTCGGAGATATATGTGATTCATAATGTACCACTCTAACAAGATACAGTTTTTATATATTACTGGGGTAACACAAAGAAAATGAATGTTTCTTTGGGCACCAGTAATTGTCAAAAGAATGATTGCAGATTCAGGAGATGTGCTTTATAATAACCCCGTTAACATAAAGTATACATGGAAGAAAGAAGGTATGGCAGGTATGTGGAGGGGTTAGTTGTATTAGCATGGCATTTCAGGATGGTTTTGGCTCTTTTGACTAAGATACATCAAATTTTAACCCCCTTTAAAGTCCTTGGACAAAGGGAAAATACTTTTAACACAAGGAGCATTTGATGAGCACAAGCAGATTCACCAAGTGCTAATAAAGGCTCCCACTATTTAATAAAGTGCCCCCACCTGAAGCAAAGATTTGCCCTGGTAATAATGATAATGAGCTTAAATGGTTAGAATTCATTTGAATGTCAAAAATGAAATTTAGATGACCAAACATATCCTGATAGTTACAGCATGGAGAATATTAAATGTCCTCTTTTTAAACTACAGTAAAAAATGAAGAAGCATGGTTAATTTCCTTATGCTGATGCAAAGATGTCCAAGTGCAACTTCTGCCTGTAAGCCTCCCCATGCTCCCATGTCGCCTGACACTTTCCCTGCGGGAAGTGGGTATCTGCCCTGCTAATGCTGCCTGATGTTCTCCTTGGGAGGATACCGAGGGTTGCTCATCGGTTTCCATGTGTATGTTTCTACTGTGAATGAAAGCTGACTACAAAATCTAGACGTATTCTGCTTTCAGAAAATTCTAGTGTACCATGGACAGCATAGATATTTCTTTCAGTTTAAAAAAATAGTGCAAAAACATATCTGATAGTCAAAGTGATATTCAAGTGAGTTCTTGTGCCAAAGAACACCGTCAAGCTTCACCTTTAGCTGACTTGTAAAAACTGAACATAGTTTTTGGGAAATATTCCAGATTTTCCCATTAGTTCTCCACTCATCCAGTCATCATCTACAGATTCCAGCTCTGTTATGATGTCTCCAGCCTGTCCGAAGACAAAAATTGGAAATAATCATTATTTTTCTGTTGAGAATAAGCATGGTAAGCAGCCTACCCGGACAGGCATGGTTTATCTTTCTTGATGTAACTCTCTGATCTTGATTTGCCCAGGGGATTAAATGATATGCCACACATATGATCTATGATTTATGACACCATTTGCTTGGATGCCTTTTCTCCTCTGAGCCCATTCCTTGGCACCCTCACAGCACTTTTATTTTCCTGCTCGTATTTTGTGCCCCCCAAATTCACTACTCCTAATTAAAATTCTTTAATAACAGTACTAGATATATGTTATATATGTATTTTTTCACATAACAATTATTTAGAGCACCCAGTATGTGTCAGACACTGTTGAGTATTACGGATACAGCAAGGAATAAAGACCTCATCTAAGAGTAGGGAGGCAAATAATCAAGCTAGTCCAGGAGGACAGAAAGTGTGGGGTAGCCATCTCATTAGTTCTAGGCAGGCAGCGCCCCACTGAAGGGGACACATAAGCAAACCATTGAAGGTAAGAGAGTCCATGTGCTTACTATATACAGGTAGTCCTACTTTATGCACTTTATAGGAATTAACTTACTTGAACAACACTGTAGTCTTAGAGGTGGGTACTCTTATTTTGCCATTTTAGAGAGAGATTTTTATAGACTTCTTTATTTTAAAAAGAAGGAACCTGAAGCTCGGAAGAGATTAAATAGCTTCCTCAGGGCTGTGTGTCTAGTTAGTGGTAGGGACAGGATCCCAATCTAGTTCGATTTCAGGGCTGGTTTTGCTAACCATTGGGAACATGGCTACTATGTTTTATAGTGGACTTTTTACTTAGAGAGGCTTTTACTGTAATTGCCTTTTTCCCAACATCCTGAGCATTTTGTACTCTACATTTATTCTTCCATATAATGGTATCCTCCTCTACCATTTGGTTTATTCCAGGCTTCTATGGCTTCACAGTCAAATTTACATTCATTCCGGTCTTAAAAGAGCTTCTCCCTGACTCAGAACATCTGATTTACCCTCATCAGGTTAGTCAAAGGGACTGTGTGTCTTATTCATGTGTGAATTATAATTCCTCAAAAGACGAAGACATAATTTTTTAAATTATCTCCTGAAACTATTTTGTTCTTTATGGATTCTAACCATTTCTTAGAATCTGGGTTTAAGATTCTATAATGGTTCAGGATGACCCTGGCTACTTTTAAGAATATCAGGCTAAATGGATTTTATTTATAGCACTAGTACATTGCCCTCTGGAAAAATGGTTTGATTTAAGGCCTTTCTTTATGGAAAATGGAAAGGAAAAATGCTATCAAATGTCATTAATTTACTTTACTCTGCCAAAATCCGTAAAAACTCTCGCTGTTCAAAGTTTCTATTATAAATAAGTTCCTTGGGGATCCCTGGGTGGCGCAGTGGTTTGGCGCCTGCCTTTGGCCCAGGGCGCGATCCTGGAGACCCGGGATCGAATCCCACATTGGGCTCCTGGTGCATGGAGTCTGCTTCTCCCTCTGCCTGTGTCTCTGCCTCTCTCTCTCTCTCTCTGTGACTATCATAAAAATAAATAAATAACTAAATAAATAAATAAGTAAGTAAGTAAGTTCCTTCTGGTTCCTAAATTATAACATAATAGTTGAATGAAACTTTGTTTTTTTTGGCTCTGGTCCATATGTACATACTATGCCAGTTTTCTGACGGCTAGGACAATTTTTTTAAAAATAAAAGTCCTACTAATATTCTGTGAACATTTAGTAAAATATTAATGATTAACAATACTGACAGCAGTGCAGAATCCTCTAACTAAAAAACTCTAGACCTATCTTGTCTATAGTCATTTATAAAACGAAGACAACCTATTTTCTGGAGAATATGAGTATGATTTTGTTATTTACACCAACATAACTTAAACGAAAGCCAAAATAACATCCAAAAAGTTTGAATCCAGATTGTTCACTTGCAGTCACATTTTATGTAAAGATAAAAAGGAATGAATTTTGAGCCACTGATTTCCATGATGAGAAGGACTAGAGAAGGACTAGAAGGACTAGGACTATCTAAGCATTTGGATTTTGAGAACCAAGAAATTAAGAGGGAAAAAAAGAAACTGATACAGGATTACAAATTATAATTCTGCTTAAGAAATATCATTTACTAACAGCATTTTATAAAAGAAATGACATTTTAATATGAAAAGGAAGAAATTCTCAGAAAAATGTAAAACTCTACAACAAAATAGGAAAGTCAGCAACTTTATATTGCTTTACTCTGCATGCCCCTTACTCTGTGACTTCCTAATATCACCTTCATTTCCCTCATTTTTTTCAGACAGGTGCTGGGGCACCCACTGTTTTAAGTCTCATCTTCTCAAGTCACTCCCTGATGCTTTAATTCTTTCTATGGCATCCCTGCCTCTGCCTGAGTTTCTGATGATGGGGAATTTTCCAGTGTCTGGCGCAGGCCGTTCTGATGGCCTGCTACTAAACCCACCCTCCTTCTTCTTGGAACAGTCCCAAAGTATTGTTGTGAGTGCCTTCCTCTGACCATGGTCCAACTGCAGGCTGAGAGACAGGATCATGCAAATATTCTATTTTTACTCAAAAAACAAACAAAAAAGAAGATGGACTTCTTCGGTAAAGTAAGATTAAACTTTAGGCTTCTAAAAAGAAAAAAAAAGCCTTTGCAGGGGTGCCTTGCTGGCTCGGTCAGGGGAGCATGCAACTCTTAATCTCTGGGTCGTGAGTTCAAGCTCCATGTTGGGCGTATAGATGACTTAAATAAATAAATAAATCTTTGCATAGGAGCTTAACCTTTTGGGATCATTTCCCCAAATTCTAGTCAGTATCTTTGTGGACAAGACTCCAGTGCTTTATGAACACTGCTGCAGTGGCCAATTGTAGTAGGTACCATTTGATTTCTCCATTGGTTTCAAAGACATGACAGTAGCAGTTTGCAAAGTCCACGGAGAGAATTACCCTTTACTAGGTTTACCAACAAAAATTCCAATATTGTTGAGATTGGATGTTAGGAGGCCTAGGATAAGGAGTTTGTTTGATGATTGTGTGGCTATCAAGCCAGTAAAGTTTTAAGTACTTAAATGCCTTGCTGATAATTTAATTGTGCCCTATTCAGCTTCTCTAATCTCCTCCATTAGAGTTAGGGTCTGAGATCTGTTCATTCTTGGCTAATGATCAATATTCCACCCAAATGTTCTATTCTTCAGTGGAAGACCCTTCACAATTTATAGTTGTTTAATGCAGTTACAAAAAGATACACATTCTGACCTTGAAGGAAAGCTCATCTTCATTCTCTCCGTGGAAATCATATAAAGCTTTGGCCTTCTTCCCCTTCAGTGCTAAAGCAGACGTACTTTTTGCCTCAGCTGTGAAGACACCAAAAATTCAAATATATATAGAAAGGCAATGGCCTAAAACACATACATTTTAAGAACCATGCCTCCCCACATGCCCCTTTCCATTCCCAGGACAAAATAATTTCAATTAATTTTGAAATTTTTTAACCTGCAAAAAGATGGTATTTTCTTAGCAGGACAAAAAAACCATACAGAATACATTTAGTAGACAAAATTAGCCATTATTAAGTGAAGGCGTTTTTGTCTTTACTTTCCCCCATACAGCCAACAAAGCATATGAGGAGACTTTGCACAAACTTATTAATCAACTCTTTCAAATGAAGGCAAACAAATTTGAGCATGACCAGAGAGAAAAGGAATATATATCATTTCAAAGGTCTTGGGCTCCACTTCAAGAGTAACAGTCATGGGATGCCTGGGTGGCTCAGCGGTTTGGCACCTGCCTTCAGCCCAGGGCGTGATTCTGGGGTCCCAGGATGGAGTCCCACATTGGTCTCCCTGCATGGAGCCTGCTTCTCCCTCTGCCCGTGTCTCTGCCTCTCTCTCTCTGTCTCTCATGAATAAATAAATAAATATTTTTTAAAAAGTAACAGTCAGTTTTGTAGTTGCCATACCTGGGCAGGGCCGCACGAAGACTGCTGGGAAGATCCCCTCCCTGTCCCCCAGTCTGCCCTTGTACCAGTCAGAGTCCACGTGCTCAAGGATCAGGATCCGATCTCCCCTCTTGAAGGATAAGTCATCATTGGTCTCTGCTGTGAAACTGTGAAGAGCTTCACACCATTCTCCAGAAAGACTACTATCCTGTTACAAATCAGAAGTTTGGTAAGAAATGTGGGATTTTTACCTGACATTGATTTATACGAAGCTTAAAAAGTAGAGGGAAAAAAAGCAAAGGGGTCAAAGATTTCAAAGCCTGAAGTCTTCTTTAAATCACCCAATACTTTATGTTGCTACCAACTTTCAGAAAGAAAAGTTTCCAATAACCTTTTTCTTAAAATATTATTCTAAATGGCAGATATTATGAGATTTGTAGCTTTTCTGCTTTTAAGATATACACAATACTTAAGCAAAAATTTTTTTCTAATTGTGATCTTAACATCTATAACATTAGTTACATTAAAAACATTATTAGGTAAAAGCACATGGTATTTATGACACTATGAAAAAAATTCTGGTGAAGCACATAATTTTCAGTGAAGCTCTTCTTTACCTATAATAGGATAGATCAGAATGGGCAGTCTGTTCATTCCAGGTCTTTTTTTTTTTAAAGATTTTATTTATTTATTCATGGGAGACAGAGAGAAAGAGAAGCAGAGACACAGGCAGAGGGAGAAGCAGGCTCCATGCAGGGAGCTGGACGTGGGACTCGATCCCAGGTCTCCAGGATCAGGTCCTGGGCTGAAGGTGGCGCTAAACCACTGAGTCACCTGGGGTTCCTGTTCATTCCAGGTCTTTGCCTGATTCATAGACTACCAGATTCCGTAGCATGAGATTTCAAGACTACATTAACTCACACTTTTAATTTCATGAGGCATGGTTAGCTCTAAGGCTGGTAGGGTAATGACCCAAACATGATAGGCTTGTATTATAGAATGCTCCAACAAGAATGCTTTTTACCCCACACACATCAGAGGAAGGTTTTGATCTGCAAGAAGGTGTCTCTGCCAGGTCAGGATGGGAACCCCATGTTTGAGGAGCTCAAGTAGGGAGGACAGGAAAATGTGAAGGCAAAGCCTTGGGGACAGACAGGCCTGGGTTCTAGACTTAGCCTCAGATTCATGTTAGTGTTGCTAAGTGTGGTTGTGAGGACTGAATGGGATAATGCATATAGCACAGCTGGCACAGTGCCTAGCATATCTTAAGTTCACAACAACGGATGGCTTATAATACAAAAACAAAAAAATAAGCAAACAAAACCTCCTCTTGTTCCTGCACTTGGGTAACCAATCTTAAAGAATGGTACTTTCACTACCAAGAAATGTAGGCACCAATGTGAACATTTCCTTCTGGAGAACTGTAGTCACCTTCTTTCCTGTTTGACTTTATCAGTAGGTGGGAATAAAAGAATTCAGAGACACACAGCCCAATTACCAGTGACATTTTGATAAACAATGACCCCATCAGGCTCACTCTTCTAAAATATGTCATTAAAAACAATGGAAGTCATACACATTTCTACTCCATTTAAACACTTCTGGAGTCATGCTATACAGTGTAAAATTTTTAATCCATTTTTCTCTCTCCCATTATAAAAATAATACAAATGTTCCCAAACATTAGGCAAGTTAGAAAATGTATGAAGAAAAAGGGGGAAAAACCCAGCCCACTATAATCCAAATGTTATTTCAAACATTTGCTCCATGAATTGAAAGATGGTTTATAATATTTTCTCATGGTAATTAGGATTTTACTATTCCTCCCAGAGTTGAAACCTGGTTTTTACTACAGTTGCCCATTCAAGCAGCCTACCTGAGAATTTGCACCAGAATATTCTTTTTTGGTCTTGGGTAGTACCTTTGTGCCTACATTAAAGGAAAAAAAAAGTTAAAACTCTAGGTGTAAAGGCCCATGTATTAGTATTGGAGAAAAACTGCAGAGAGGGAATAAAAAGTCTGGGACTCTAGACCAGTTTCTTCACTGTAAAGTGCAGGAGGATACAAATAAGTTATACTAGATAGTCCACTTCTGTTTAAAAGTCTATGATTTCTTGCCATTTCTGATATGAAGCTATTGCTAATTACCTAAAACACCAAAACCAGACGTTTGAGAGATTACCACCACAATAATGGCTGTCCTAATAGGGACTATTATCATTTAAAAATATTTTTTCTTTCTACTTTAAAAAATCTGAGTTATTTAAGGAGCTTAAGAATTATCCTAAAATTTGGCTTAGTTGAATTAGGATAGGACATAATAAAAAACATATTCTCTATACTCACTTAAAATACTTGCACCAGAGGTGGGATGATCCTCCACAAGTTCCACAAAGTTAAGGGGGAAAATCCCAGTTTTGTCTCGAAGTTCTCCTCTGGCCCATTCTTCATTCACATACTCCTTGAGAATAATAATTTCTCCCTCCGAGAAACTTAACTCATCCTTCTGGTCTCCAATATATTCAAACCGAGTGATACATCTTGGGCCTCTGAACAAAGAAGATCATGTTTGTGAGTCAAACTATAGAGTACTAACAAAAAATGCTTTCAAACCTTCATTCAGTCTTTCAATAAATATTTATTCTGTGTTTACTATGGAACAAGATACAATAGGCATAATTTAAAATTTTCCATGAAAAGGAATGCCTGTGGCTCAGCGGTTGAGTGCCTGCCTTCGGCTCTGGGTGTGATTCTGGGGACCTGGGATCGAGTCCCACATCGGGCTCCCTGCATGGAGCCTGCTTCTCCCCTCTGCCTGTGTCTCTGCTTCTCTCTGTGTCTCTCATGAATAAATAAATAAAATCTTTAATAAAATTTTAAAAGTTTAAAAAATAAAATTTTCCATGAAAAGAAAAAGCTACATTTCTAAAGGATAGCTCTTACTTTTTAGATATGAACCTATTCACTCAAAACAGGCTAAAGAAAAGAAAAAGCTAAAGTCAAGGTAGCAGAGTACATGCAGAATTCCAAATGAGCACCTGGGTGGCTACTCTACATTAGTACTTCTTTTGATCACCTTTACTTCATTACATGTCTTTATATGCTTGGGCCACAGAAATCCATGGCTGAATCTGAACCTTTCAATCATGATTGCACTGAATTTAGGAGTGCCAACCCTGAGAATCTCAGGGCAAGACATGAAACTTCTGTGCCAGAATGCAATGGGCATCAGCTGGGAAGAGGAGATGCTCAATAAATGTTGAATCATCAATGAGTTGCCTATATAGATACATGGTCTTCACAACTAGAAAGTTTGAAGAAAACAGAAACTGAGCAAATTACAACAATCTTATACCTAACACTGTTATTTTAAAGATGATTTCTGTAATCACCTTTAAAAAGGCCTCACTTCTAAGAATGAAAACAATCCTTTAATGATCTGCAATTGTGACTGAAAATAAGATAGAAGAAGTAGAGATAAAACTGTGTCTCTAGAAGGCATGATTTAATACCAAACCTTCGATTTAAGGCTTTAGAAAGAAGTCTCAATGGCAACAGTTGAAGGAGATGCAACTGCCTGAAGAGAAAAAAGGTTGGTACTGGCACCATTCAAATTCTGATTTAAGTCAGGTCAATGGATCAAAGGCTGTGAAAAGCCCATTTTGAATTCAACCTGCTGACACAGTAAACACTGCTTAAAATAGGAGAAAAATTGAACCTGAAATAGAATTCAACTATTGTGACATCAGAGGTTTTCTTATTTGTGGTAACCTTTGCATTTATTTTCTGAAGTCCTCGGGGAGCATCTCCTTATGTCTGACCTATTCAAAGACAGGTTTACAGTCTTCAGCAGGTAGTGAATTCTACTAATTTGCTCATTTAACTGGAATATAAAGTTGCACTGTGGCAGAGTTTTAAATCACAAAGGAGTTACAGTGGTGCATAAAAGGGTATATAAATTCATGGAAAGGTCTTCAGACATAAAGGAAGACCCCTCCAACTTAACCCTTTCTTAGCAGTTTTTGTAGGGGTTCTATTTCCATAAGATTAAAATATTTTCTCAGACAAAAATATCTGAACCTTCTAAGTATCTGTTGGTAGATAAATAACAGAAGGCCAAAACAAAATGCACTGGATAATGAAACTGTCTCTGCTCAAGCTCAGGCCAGGCTGTGTGTGGGAAGTCCCAGGAGAGTTAGTTTCTGGCTATCTATATGTCCTATAATACATGGAGTATTGCTATTGCTCACACCAGCTTCTAACAGCAGCATGTTGTATTTATCAGAATTTACTCCACTAAAAGCTTTTTATTTTTATTTATTCATTTAATTTCCAAAAAGTTTTTATTTTTAAGTAATCTCTACACTCAACATGGGGCTTGAACATACAACTCTGAGATCAAAAGCTGCATGCTCTTCCAACTGAGCCAGCCAAGTGCCCCCGACTAAGGCTTTTTAAACAAGTAAAGTTTTCCTCATAATTACAAAGACACACTGAGAGTGTGAATAGTCACACGAATGAAGTGTTTTAAGTTTGGTAATTCTTTATGGTATAAATGCTTGCCTCCTTTGCATTCAGTGCAAAAGAACACAAATAAAACTTACTTAACACAATGAGATGAAATGGATTCTCTTTTCCCATTTCCTCCTTCTGGAACGTCAATCTGTAAAGACAAAGTCAAGACAATAATCTTATGTTTTCAGATTCTAGTAAGATAAATTTAAGGCTAAGTAATTAGGAAATATGTGATTGAAATTAAACAGTTTAGGTAGATATTAAGCTGATGAAGTAGTGCCATAGGTGCAAAAACGGTAAGAAATCCAGAATTTGGGATTTGAAAAAAAAAAAATGTAACCTGGAATATAGCCTTTCTTGAATAGCCAATCAATCCTCCTATTTGCTGGAATAAGTACATTAATGTTGTTCTGCCCCAGACTGAGTTTTCATTCTCCTATAATCTCTAAGTTGAAAACTTCAGATGAGGGGGACTTAAGATAGAAACTAGGCGGCTGGCACTCATGCACTACCACACCTATTCATTTTTAAAAAAATATTTTATTTATTTATTCATGAGAGACACACAGAGGAAGAGAGGCAGAGACATAGGCAGAGGGAGAAGCAGGCTCCATGCAGGGAGCCCGATGTGGGGCTTGATCCCAGGGCTCCAGGATCACGACCTGAGTGGAGGGCATACACCTAAGCGCTGAGCCACCCAGGCGTCCCTACCACACCTATCAAAACATTTAAAGAATTCTGCAATACTCTCCTGACCCCCCAAAAAACATTTCAATAAAACTTATGGATTCTATTTTAGTAACTCCAGAAATTTGATTTTCCTTCAGTGTGAACAAGAAAGGAAGAAAGGAATTAGTACTCAGTGAGCATCTATTAAGTGGCAGGCACCTTATAGAATACCTTACTTACAAGGCTCAGTAGAGCTGAGTTGTAATAAAATATTTGATCATAATACACTAAATCGGAAAACTACTTAAGGTTTTGAGGTTTATATTAAATAAATCAGTAGCCTTCCTGATAAATTCCAAAAGTTTTAAAACAATTTTTTAAACTTGTAGGCTTAGAAATGGCACTTATACCAATAATGTGGCAGATTCAGTGTGATGGATTTCAGTGTGGTAATTGTGCTTTTTAAAGTACTGCTACATTGGGCAGAAGAAAAATGAGGAAGAGTGCTAAAACTAACATTATTCTTAATATTAATTAGAGAATGTGGTTAGATTTCTCTAAAAAATCAGGGCATATATATACTGGACAATTTTTAAGACCCACATTTTAAAATTCAAGAGACTAAAATTCATCTATATTTGAAAAATACAGGTTTTATGTTGTTTTGTTTCCTATGTTTCTGATGTAATAGAAAATCACCACCCTTTTCCCCCCCAAATAAGCTGTTAATGCTCAACAATTTAAGCTAGCTTTATTGATATTTTCCAGTATCAATAAATTATAGCAGAGACTGAGTCATATTCTTCCTATTGATATAAATGTTCAAGTGGCATTCTGATTTCATCTCCATGTTTCACAGCTACTGGGTTTAGCACTGAGGGCTCTATAGTATGGGCTCACATATATAGGCTGTGAGGGCATAAAAAATTCTGATACTTTAATATAATTTTTCCCAATCAGATTTGAAGTTACTATGTGAAAAATGATGAATGGACAACTACCTCCAATGAAAGTCCTATAGTAGTCCCAAATCTTTTTTTTTTTTTAAGATGGAAATAAATGGGAATAGAAAGGATGGAAGAAACCAAAAGTGGATTATACTCCAAAGAAAATAAGTAGCACCATAACCTCAGTGAACATTCCTTTGGGACTATCTAGTACCATTTAATTATTGTTTACTAAATGTTTAATTAATTAATTAGAATTAATATATATATATTTTAGTGCCTACCCGCCCTTCCGAGTTGGCTCACCAGCTGACCTGCAGTCATTATTCACTTTAGGATTTCAGATAGCATTTAGGCATTAAGTTCTAATACTGCATATAATATACTAATAATTCATCATTATCCAGTTGAATATACCTTTAGTTTTTTAATTTTCCAAAAACTGAATGCATCAATGGAAGAGAGTAAATGAGAATATAAGAATCTAGGCTTCTGTTTTTTCCAAACTACAAGTTACATAGAGCCCACAGAATATATGATGAATTTAAATATGCACTACACACTTACAATTACTTTGACGTAGTTCGCAGGAAATATGCCAGTCTGGTTTCTACATCTCCCTCTATACCAGTCTGAGTCTATTTTTTCCAGAAGATAAACAATTTCTCCAGAAGTGAGGTGCAAATCATCAGCTTGCTCTGTAACATAAAATTATAATTATGTATATGATGAATTCCCTTGGCTGCAGATTTGATTAAAGTGGAGCACAAAGTAACATTTAGTTCTGTCCACTGAGGCAGTATGTTCTACTGATTCTGAGAACAGATTACATCAGTCAAATTGACTTAAAAAAATACATTCTTTTTTTTAGGGGGGGGGGATATTGTTATTATGAGCTTCCTTTTTAAAAGCCAAATTGGATGCATTTACCATGCAGTGATTGACAGGAAATGGTTAAACAAAAATATTGTGCTGGTCAATGGTTCCTACTGGGCCAATATAAACCCTTTGCTGAATACATATTGAACAATGAAATATTTTATAGACATGGTATAATATTCATATTATTCTCAATCATGCTTAAAAATCATTTTAATCTCAAAATATTAACTAAGGGACTACTACAGCTCTTTAGCAAGTAAATGTACTCACACTAAAATAAAATAAAAATCACTCTACCAAGTAGACCAAAAGAGGCTTTAAATAAATCAGGAGTTTATTTATAGTCTTGTAATCTTGGATATAAAAAGTATTTAAAAATTATTACCAAAAAATGTATACTTTCATCTCTTATAAGCTATGCGTGGTTTTGCAATTCTTAGGAGACAATTATTTCACTTATGAAAACAGAATTAATATCATTATAATTGTTAATTGGTACGCATGGTTTCTAAAGAGTTAAAAGTCTGCAATTGCTATGCAATTGGCTATATGTTCACTATAAGGGAATCCTCTGCACCCCCCCCCCTTTTCTGTCTCCCCTCATTCTTTCTCTCTCACGGGGAATTTCAAAGGTGAGGGAATGCTGCTAAGCTCTCTGGAATGGCTGAGTACAATCAACCCTTCCTGAAGGCAGCGTAAAATGACCTTTCCAATCCAGAACTCCATTGGCACAGAAAATGAAGATGTCATTGAGAGGCCAACTCAGGGAAGATGACTGCTCGGGGATCCTAAAGCTCTACCACTTAATCATTTATGGGCTTACCTGCTGGGAAATCATGAAGAACAGCAGCATGAGGGGCACTACTGTCAACGGGCTTCTGAGCATGGTTTGGATCCTTAGGGGGGAAAACAGGGCCGTGAGTGAAGCATGCAGGATGGATGCTGGATGTGCTATTCACTCTGAGACTTTTTTTTTTTTTCTCATTAGAATCCTCTTGACATAATTACATTATGAGTATACAGGATGCAAAGCACACAGTCCAGCCAAACAAGAGAATCACTATCAAGTTGAAAAGGTATGTGTACTTGCCAAGGGAGGACAGAAATGACTCTCAATTGTAATGTCCTCCCACCACTTTTTTTTAAACCAAGAGAGTAACATAAATGGGAATATCTTTTTTATTTTAAGGTCATTATTTTTAAAACTGGTACCATTCTACTCTGAAGTAGTGGTTTTTGACCTGTGTACCTTGCCAAGGTTGCTTTTTCCTTAAATTATGATCAGTACTGCATCTCAAGAACAGAGCCTTAAAAGTTGAGTCTTCATTAAAATGGTAGAAGAAAGCTCTGCAATTTATACTCCGCCTTTCATAAATGGAAAGAGCTAATGACTTCCACAAAAGTATAATTCACAAAAAGTAAAATCTATTTCATTTATTACCATGTCGCTGAATGCTTTCTCTAATTTGAAGGCCAAAAACACATGTCTTGCCTGAATTTTCTATTTAATCTAAATGGTTTATTCAACAGTAACTCTAAGTAAATTAGCAAAGAGAATTCAATATTCTCTACCCATGTAGCAGCTTCCTAGATTGGCTAGGGGAGAGGGCAAAGTTGAACAGTGACCTTTTCTCATTGACAAGCAGTTGTTATTCTTAATTTAATACAAACAGATAGGCTTATCCACATTATCATCATCATCATCTAATCTGATTAAAAGATGTTATTTGAAATTATAACTTAAAACTCTTCAATACTGGCAAACCTGTGAACTAAATGAAGGCAAATTTATGACCTCATCTTTCAAACAAAATGCACCTGCAAAAACATGCTGTATTTTCTCAAGTTAGGTAAACAAATACTAATTTAGGCCAAGACAGTAACAGTTAATGGCAGCTCACTACACAAGCTTACCAAAGTAACCCTGATATTTTTTTGGAAGCTGCTCAGTGCTTTTCTTTAAGTAAATGAGCATGATGGGAATTTCAGGAATTGTGGAAAGGAGCCGTGAGATATATGCATTCTGGGGGGGGCCTTAAAAATTTTTCACATAAGTTATTATATGAGTGTATGTGTGACTTTCATTTTTTTCTGATTTATATCTGTGGGAAATGGAATGACTCTTCAGTAAATGGTGTTAGGCTAGATGGCTATCCATTTGGAAAAAATGAAGTCAGAGGCTTACCCTACACCAGACACAAACAAGAATCTTCAAAGGGCCCAACAATATGAACCAAGCCTGAGAGGCTTGAAGAGGCGGGACAATACTTTGAACCTCCTAATTAGTTGAACCTCCTCTGTCTTGAATGCTTGGATACCCCCACCCCCTATGCTGCTCATCAACCCGGCCTGGCAGCTGAAGGGTAAGAGCAACAGGCTACACAGGGTTGGCCACAAGGGGTCAGTACAACTCAGACCATGCCATTAAGGTGGGTGTCTGGTAGGTAAACTGAATATATTCCAAAGCTCTTTCTAATAGGACTATCACTGCTGATACAAATGAGTAATAAAAAATGTTAATATTCATTGTTTACTCACTATGCACTACTCACCAAGCTAAACACCTTATATTGCATTAAGTAGCTCTTCTAAGTTTTTAAACATCTTTGAGATATAATTCACATGCCATAAAATCCACCCATTTCAGGTATACATAGTCTTAGCAAATTCACAGAATTGTGCGACTCTCACCACAATCTAAGTTTAGACCATTTTTACCACTCCCCAAAGAAACCCCCTCCCCGGGACGCCTGGGTGGCTCAGTGGTTAAACATCTGCCTTTGGCTCAGAGTGTGATCCTGGAGTCGTGGGATGGAGTCCCACATCTGGCTCCCAGCATGGAGCCTGCTTCTCCCTCTGCCTGTGTCTCTGCCTCTCTCTCTGTGTATCTCTCATGAGTAAATAAATAAAATCTTTAAAAAAAAGAAAAAGAAACCCTCTCCCCATTAGCAGTCTTCCCCCTGTACCCTCCCCGTAGCCTTACACAACCACTAATCTACTTTCTGGATTTACTTCTTGTGGACTTTTATATAAATGGAATCACACAATAAATCAGTTCTAAAAAAAAAAATTAAAAACCTCATGGAGTTAGTTATCACTATTTCCCACCTTAAAAAAATGAAGTTTAAAGATGTGAAAGAATCATCTAGGGCAATGTACTGTGACCCAAAACCCAACTCCCTGGAACATAAATCTGTGTTCACAACCAGGCACCAGGTAACCATCCCCCACTGACGTTCAGCCTCAACTGATAATGTTCACTATTTTCTGTTTACTAAGGTAGGGGAGAGTAGAACTCATTTTTAGAAATCTTTACCTTAAAACGAGGCTTACAAATAGTAAGTTTTATTTCTCTGAAAAATGTAATGCGAACCATGAACCCAGAATCTAAAGGAGGCTTCATTTTGGTATCACCAGGAGTTGGCCAATGGAGGCCAGGTGTCTTTAAGTCTACTTACACGGGGAGGAAGGTAATGTTTAAAGTGGAAAAAACCTTTGAACTGTTATAAAAGAATAACTTCTAATTTTTTTAGTGTCTGTTTTTCATCGAGAAAAGCTTTTTGGGGGATCCCTGGGTGGTGCAGCGGTTTGGCGCCTGCCTTTGGCCCAGGGCGCGATCCTGGAGACGCGGGATCGAATCCCATGTCGGGCTCCCGGTGCATGGAGCCTGCTTCTCCCTCTGCCTGTGTCTCTGCCTCTCTCTCTCTCTCTCTCTCTGTGTGTGATTATCATAAATAAATAAATAAATAAATAAATAAATAAATAAATAAATAAATAAATAAATAAATAAATAAATAAAAAAGAAAAGCTTTTTGGCATTACAACTCCCACCATTACCCATCAGTGTGTTTTGAGCAAAGGACAGTGGTGACAGATGGATAACGATCTACCAAAACAAAGAGAATATGAGCAATGGGAGAATGTTCCCCTTGTGGACTACAGTTAGAATTTCAGTATCTTGCCTGTGCCTAGTTTAACACATTATCTTCTCTGCTCTTCAAAATACCAATATTTAAGTTTCTTAGCAAACTTCAGAAGATAAACTGCCTTCAAAGAAGAAAACAATTGTACTAGATTTTGAAAACTAGGACATATGGCAAACCAAACACTTCACTTGCATTAAGTGATAGGTGGGTATTCTTTTTCACATTTGCCACAGTAACAGCAAAAATTTAACTGGTTAACTTAAGTTCTTTTACAAATATACCTCTGTAAATCATTCGATGCTATTTTTCTTGCTAAACAAATGTCCTTCAATAATCACTGCATTCTCATAGGCTCCACAAATTTGTTAGGCCTACACTGTGACTTTAGGTTGTTGGATTACATTTCATTTCATTATTTTGAGCTATGATCAGAGAAATGAGGTTTATTCTAAGCTTAAATCTTAAAGGGAAGTGCTTCTTAACGTCAGACTTAGCATTTATAGGACTCCCTTAAAAATAATTATCCATTCTGGTAGGAAACTGATCTCCAGCACTTTGATAAACATGTTTACATTATTTCAAAAATAAATAGCTCTCACAGTTGAAAGTTAATGACTGAGTGCTCTGGTTGCTCTAAGTCAGCATGAGATGAAGAAGGCAAAACACATGGTAGTCATTCTGTGTATCAAAGTGATTAGCATGGCAGTGGCGAGTCTTTTAGAAGTAATTTATTCTTAAAATGAAATAAAAAGCTACTGCAATTTTTACTCTGGTTAAAATAAACGTGCTAATAAGAACCTGAGGATAAGATATAATTAATAGTTCTACGAAATGTGCTGCCATGTGTGATATGAGGGCTGTACAATATTAATTCCTTACGTTTGGTCTGCTTCTAAGATGTTCATCAAGTGGGGTGATAATCTTTATCTGAGACAGGTGAACTCTGCCAATATCTTGTCCCTTTTGGCATTCCAAGTAATTATTTTCTGCCTGCTTCAGCATCACAAGTACGTCCCCACGCTGTAAGGCACAATACCACACTCTGAAGCAATTATTATTTAATAAAACATTATTACTTTTTTCACATTTTAATCTTCAGAGCCTAAAGCATTTAATAATGTGTAAAGCAGTAACAGAGGCCAGTGATTTTTTTTTTTTTTTTTTTACATTAGTCAGTAAAGAAAGAGCTCTACTTTACCTTACAGGAGAGTTCTCCAGGGTTTTGGGAGACAATATCTTCATTGGCAATTCCATGAGGCACAGACAGCTTAAACACAAACCCATAGAAGGATTATTTGCAATCAAATAACTTCCTCAGAAGCTGCTGATAATGTGGAGATTTCACATGTGTGCCTAAAGTGTAACTTCTCAAGCAGTTAAACTCTTCCCTTGAGTTCCTCAGACTCTAGACCCTGGGAGGGTGGGGGGGATTGGAGGGGGGGCCTGCCATTTCTCTTGGATACTCACAGTCCTTGGGGACAGGCAGGTGAGCCCGCAGGACAATGGCCCAATGTGGCCGGAAGTTCCCTTAAATGACAACCTGGAAGTTCTGTTCTGTAGGACAAGGCCCAAGTCTCCTGAGCATCTGAAGGATAAATGCTCAGCACCTGACCTCACAGTCTGTGGGGACATGTCTTTAATGCGGGGTCCTCAGTGGTTGTCTTCTGAAGGCTGACAGGGGAGCCCCCTCTGTAGTGCTTGATTGACTGCTTCCATTTGCCTTGAATTGCATTTTCTCCTCGTCTCTCTGATACCAAGTGTTTACTTATACCGATTTCACTGCCTGACCCCAGTCACTTCCTCGTCTACTCAGCTGTCTGATCTTAGAATCGCTTTTACATCTGCACCCCACCCTGGCCACAGGACTCTGTTCCTGCCTTGGTAAATTCTGGCTGATGAGCACTGGTCAGAGGGCCTGTAAAATATAAAAGGCATACCCAGGAAATGTGATCACACAAGCTCACTTCCAACAAGGAAAGGGAGGCTGCATGGACCCCTTTGTCACTCAGGAGCAAAGATTCAGAGTACAAGGATGTAGCCCTGGAAGGCTGGGTTGGGTGGTGCTGATTCCCAGTATCTCTGTTAAGAGTCCCAGGCTCCCAAAGCCACCAGATTCCTGATTAGCAATTTAACAAAAGAGTGGCCGTGGAAAAAAACAAAAAAAGAGAGAGAACAAGAAATTTAAAGAATTATTTTGTAATGAGATATACGACTCTAGCACACACTATCACTTTGAATTTATTAATTTGACCTATCCAAATATTTTATTGACATTACACAGCCATGCCATAAGGAAAATATGCATCCTGAATAAGACTCTTAACATGGAACGTCCAAAGCGAGCCGAGTCTTTACAGCTAGTAACACTACTCCTGTAGTATGGCTTCACAGCTAAGAGCATGTGATCAGAGCCAGCTGATCTATGTTCAAATCTTGGCTCTACCATTAACTGGCTTTGTGACTGAACAAATTCCTTAACCTGCGTTTTATTTTCATTTGTATAATACAGATAATAACAGTATTTACTTCAAAGGGTTGGTGTGAGGAATAAATGAGCTATTTAATATACATATAAAGCATTTTGAACAGTATCTGGCTCATAGTAAGTACTCAACACATCAGCCACTGTTCTTATTTATTATTTTAAAGTCAAAGAACACCCCTGGGTTTTAGCAATTAAAATGTTATCAGTTTAAATGAAAATGAAAATGAGTATACTACCTCTTTCTTACCTGTCTATACCCTCCCCTTAGGAGGATTAGAGCATCTTAAATGGCTTAAGGTGAAAACAATTTCTGGCACAATGATGGAAATGTAGAACAACATCAAATTATTAAGGGCTGTCCTTATTAAGAGCCACTGTCATACAATTGTTTAAAAAGTGCTAACAGTTCTGTTCTTAACATTTTTGTTTTGCATTTTATCAGGCTAACCTGACCAAAGTAGAGAGAGCACATCAGTTCTGTTTCAAGTGTGGGAAATGGACAAAAGTCACATGATTTAAAAAACCCATTGAATGAGAACAAAATTAATACCTCAATCATCTCAATTATCAATTAAAATTTTCTAACTGGTGAGTGTTAAATGGGCTATGATAATTAGGTTTATAAAAGGGGAAAGTGAGGGAAAAACCATCCATCCTAATGAGGAATTCCCTTCTAGTGCATTTAAAATTTTAGTCTGTGGGCAAGGTAGCTGTAAGATATAAACTACATCAAGTTAAAAACTATAATATCTGTCAGAGCTGCTCCCATCAGTATAACCCACAGGGTCAGGTTCTTCAGTTTCTGTTTGGCCAAGCCAAACAGCAGGTTACCATCCCTGTCTGCCCTGCTTCCTCCTCCTATATTTCTTCTAGTAACAAACCCTGCTCTAAAGACCCAGGTCTCATCACAGCCTACTTATCTAAAGCCTTCTTGACGTCAAGAGGCAATTCCACATTTATCTCATCATCTTTTCTTAAGGAATGATAGATCTTATACATACTTTAGGACAAATCTTTTGACCAGAAACATTTTTAAAAGCTGAATTTACCATGTATTTCCTGTAGAGAGGGTGTCCTGGTTTGGGGCGAGGGGGCAGCACCGGATCTTGGTTTTTAAAGACTTGACTCTTGGCTTTCCAGAGTCCAGATGCCAAGTTACTTTGCTTTTTCTGAAGATCCATGTCAGAAGAAGACCGATTTAAAGGCAGTTTTTTATTTGATGCTCTGGCTGCAGAAAGTTTGGGGGGAGGTGGTCTCTCAGGGGCTCCCTTGGGAGGAGGTTGTCTAGCTGGTGTAACTCTTCCATTTACAGGTCTGAAAGTCAACGTGGTAGCTGTGAATCAGTGTCTGATCGATAATAGGGTTCTGTTTTATTCTTTCTTACACACACACACACACACACACACACACACACAGCTTTCTGCTGGTATAATATAATTTACTAAAACATGCAGGGTATGCTATTTTTGAGCAAATGACTGCTGCATTAAACATTATATTATTAGAGGAAATGCCATGATGCTCCAGCTTCCTCTTATCTTGCACTAGAGATTCATTAGTTTCAGACAAACAAGCATTTACTATCATGAGCTCTCTAAGGCCCCATTTACTCTAAAGCACACCATGACTGCTTCAGAAGACTAAGCACTTTCTACCAAAGTCTCAGATGAGAAGCTAATAATAAGGTATCAGGTATATTTGATGGGGGTCTTACACATAATTAGAAAAGGAACATCAAACTCCCCCAATACTCGTGTTATAGGAATTATTAAAACCCTAATTTAGATTAATATAAAGAAATCTAGTTCTGAAAATGGGATAGGACAACTATTATTTTGAAAGCCTTCCCTTAATCCCAATGATAAGAATAATTTCCAACATATCTTCTGATAGCATCACAGCATTTTGTTCAAATGGCCCTGGAACTCAAGAGGGCAAGGTAATCTCTGAGCTCACAAAGCCTGTTTCCCTTTGGAGATACTTCCAAAATCCAGGCTGGTATCTCATAACAGGGATTGAGAGAGAGAGAGAGAGAGAGAGAGAGAGAGAGAGAGAGAGGGAGAGAGAGAGAGAGAGAGAGAGAGAGAGAGAGAGAGAGAGAGAGAGAAAATAAATGTGTGTGTGAACATTCCAGAAGTGGAGTTGCTTTAGGTTCAGAAAAGAGTCTTGTTGATTTAATTGAGGAAAAGTAATAAAGATCTAGGTCTGTGCTCTGTGAATTGTTCGATTGTGTTAAAAAGAAAAGAAGGAGCAGAGATTCCTACAACCTGCCATGGGAAGCTGGCCACAGGCTAGTGGTCTGGGTGAATTTGTGAGTTTAATGCACGTGCCTTCAAAAGATCTAAGAGTCAGTGTTTTGTTTTTGTTTCGCTTTTTTTTTTAAAAGATTTTATTTATTAGAGAAAGAGAGAGAGAGAGAGAACATGAACAGGGCAGGGGAGAGGCAGAGGGAGAAGTAGGCTCCCTGTTGAGCAGTGAGCCCGATGCAGGGCTCCATCCCAGGACCCTGAGATAATGACCTGAGCCGAAGGCAGACGCTAACTGACTGAGCCACCCAGGGGCCCCAACACTCAGTTTTGATAACAGGAAAGAGAGTCCAGTCTCTGAATCAATAGTTTTTCTCTAATTTACCATTTTTATTTTTAAAGTTTATTTATTTATTTTTAGTAATCTCTATACTCAAAGTGGGGCTTGAACTCACAACCCCAAGATCAAAAGTTGCATGCTCTTCTGGGTAAACCAGCCAGGTGCCCGTTTAATGTACTTTTAAAAAATATTCCCAAACTTACTTACCTTGGTGGCAACCTTGGGGGTCCTCGCACAGAGCCTCCTGTTTGACCCATGTGATCAGATTCCTACAATTACCAGAGAATGCTTTTTAGTTAAGGTTAATCTGAAACAGGAGCTTGTCAAGAGGAATTATGAACAACTTTTTTTGGCTAGATCTCTAAGTGGAAATGTAGCTTAGTTATAGAAAATAGCTTAAGAATTTTTAGTCTTAAGCAATATTAACTCATTCCTTGTTCCTAAGTTCTCAAGTCCTAATATAAGTGAAAACAGAGAGAAGACCAGGGCTGTTGTGGACAGCAGCCCAACCAACGGCACTGCATGGTTATGTACCCAGTAGATTCACGAGGTGTTAAGGATGATGTTTAAATCATACGCAGTAGCGATTTAAGCAGGCACTGTGGGGAATTAAAAAGATAATATAGCCTTTATCTATCCCACGACAACACATAAGATATGCATTGTTCCTAAGTTTAAACATATAGTAAGTGAGGTGGCGATTATTTTGTTTTGCTTAGAACAGGCGGCTCTCTCATCACCAGATGGTTTATACTTTGCATGGTGGCTTCTGAACTAGGAGGATGTAGAACATAAAAGAAGTTTAAGGGATGACCTGAAAGGAAGGTATATGGAGAGGACTAGAAAGGCCCAAGAAAGCAGAAAGGGTAAAGGGGGAAAACTCGAAAAATAAGACAGGTACAGCAGGATGTATGAGCCTAACAGCAGAGGGGAAAAATTGGAAGTGTGAAGAATAATAAGATTTCTTGGGCAGCCCAGGTGGCTCAGCAGTTTAGTGCCGCCTTCAGCCCAGGGTGTGATCCTGGAGACCTGGGATTGAGTCCCATGTCAGGCTTCCTGCATGGAGCTTGCTTCTCCCTCTGCCTGTGTCTCTGCCTCTCTCTCTCTCTCTCTCTCTCTCTCTGTGTCTCTCATGAATAAATAAATAAAATCTTTAAAAAGAATTTCTTTAGGGTAAAGGATTCAAACTGTGCTGTTTAAACAGGTTTAAACATGTTGTAGCCCAAGGATTGGGAAAGAAGTATAATACATGGGGAAAATGCTAGCCCTTTAAATTACACTGCATTTTTTTTCTTTTTTCTTTTCTTTTCTTTTTTTTGTAAATGAGATTTCACTGTCACTTGGGGTTCTTTGGGCTAATTCAGACTGTTTTCCTCCCTCTCACCTTATAAATGAGTTAAAACTCACTTCCACGGTATTTTAATTCAAACTGAATATTAACTTTTCCCTTAAATACAAAATGATTAATTGCCAATAACAGCGATCATTTAAGTATGTTTCAAAATCCCATTTTTAAAAACAAATTAAGCTTGCCCTTAAAACTTGGTTTCACTAATGAGTTCAGTTAATGTAGTGAGGCAAGTCACCAGCGCATAAACCCTGCAATATTCCATAGCCTAATCCATGCCTTACAAATACACTGCTGCTTATATTCCCCACCCCCACCACTGACAAACAGTGCTATGATTTTGAAAGACTCACATCTCTGGCAGTGTTTAAAATTAACAAATCAACCAACCAACCAAAAAGCAACCTAGAAAAAAAAAAAACCCACGAAGCAACCTAGTAGATAGGCAGGAACTCTTATTGATTTTCTCAAAATTATAGTTGTTAATAATTAAGGGCAAATTATAAAAACACAGCTGTATAAATTTGACAGTTATAGGTGATGTACTTTAATAACTATACACCATATAATCCTGATGTTATACCAAGTATTAGCTGTAGTTTTCTTTCAGTGTTGTTATTTTTATGAGGATCTTAAGTATCTTTTCAGTTTCTCAAGTTTTGTACAACAAGAAAAAAAACAGTCTGTAGGTAGCAGACTGCCTACATACATGGGCCAGGATTGTTTGGCACACAGAAATCCTGAGAAGAGGGGACTGGCTCCCCAGGAAGCCAGTGTCCTACTGTTTACTAAAGTCTAGGCTCTTGCACAGGTTCTGCCAACAGTCTTGGGAAGATTACTGATTAGGGATTTCCTCCTCTTCAATATTCCACATCTAACTGGAGCCTCTCTGCATCTGCTTTTTTTAGTTTTTCTTTAGCTCTGACGTCTCTGAACTTTGGCTTTTGATGTGTTTGGATAAGCATTTCAGTTCCTGGTGAAGTTGATCTTTCTGCTTATATGTCCCTGCAGGTGCCACTTTTTTGTTCATCTGCTTTGATACGGCTTCTCATATTCTAACTTCAAAACAGTTCCCCAAGTTTGTTGTTGTTGTTGTTTTTGCCAAATTTCAAAAGTCAGATATTTTCTTGTCTGTTGGAATTTCTGAGCAGCCTCTACAGATGTTCCCTCTCTCCTTTCTCCAGGAACTCGTACCACTTCTTAGGTCCTGAATTCACTGGCCAAGCTTCTGTGCTTCAGCCTGGATTCCTTATACATACTGGGTGGCATCTCCTGATCTCCCCTTGCACCAGCTGGCAGCCTCCTTGGGAGAAGCTTTGGAAGCCCTGAGTTCCCACGGTGAGAACAGAGCACATAGAAGCATCTGCTCCTGCTCCAGGAGCTCCTAATGTTCCTTACCTTAGAATCCCTTGTCCTTTAGGTGAAGAGAGTGAGATTTTATAACACAATGAGTCATCTTGTCCTAAGATGCAAAGTTCCCTGGCTCTCAAGGCAGGAGAAATAGTACAGAGTTTTTGACCTGTGCTTCATCAGAAGACACAGTTTGGCAAAGACCATGCCTATCCTCTAGGGTGATTACACTGGTGAAATAGTCTTTCTAGAGATCTTCCCTGATACTTGAAGGCTTTATGGTATCTGGTCTAATATTCATTCAGTAATTATAATTCTCAAAGAATTATAGATTTGACTTTCTGGCCCTGGAAATTTCAGTGTGTGACTTTAGACTTTAGTCAACTCATTTCACTTGTAGTCTTATTTCTTATCTCTTCTTCCTTTAGATCCATCATGTCTCTCACAGTATGTATTTATTATAGCACAGCACAGAATGCTTTGGCCCTCCTTTGTAAACACCGTAGGACAGGATTTTCCTGTTCATGTGAGGTGCAATTATGATTATAGTACTTTTCCAGATGGTTTAGTTTATTCAAACTTCCTTTTCTTGTTTTTCTAAAATGTGGGAGTTGCTTTGTGGTCTACTTAACACCAAATGTAATAATACCTAATACTTTAATAGAATTTTATGGTTTACAAAAGCCTATTACATGACTTCATGAATGATATATATGCTTGCTCATCATCTTCTCACTCCCCTTTACAATCCTTTAGAGTAGAAACCAATAACCTTCTCAAGTAAATTTTCTTCCATGGAAATTTGGGATTTTCTGCTATTCAGCAACAGTATTATAGGGACCCTTTCATCCCCTTTTGGGCTTTCTTGGCCCAGTTTTAATAAAAATTTATTACCAAGTACTTTGAAAATGCAAATGATCACTAAATTTTAGTTCAGCCTACAGGAAAATCTCATTAACTTGATATTGGCTAATTCAATTTAATGTCTCCTTCAAAGAAATATCTTTTCACTAGATGATTAGATGGGTTTGCATGTATAATAAGCATAGTTAATGCACAGTGTAAAACTATTATGAAATTTGAACTGAAAATTTGGTTCAAAAACATTAAGAATTCATTCCTTTAAAATTTTTTTAATTTTGTTTTTTAATCTTTATTGAAGAATAATTAATATATAATATTGTATTAGTTTTTGGTATACAACATAGTGATTTGATATTTATTTATGTTATAAAATGGGCACTACAATAAGTCTAGTTACCATCTGTCACCATACCGAGTTGTTACAGTATTATTGACCATATTCCCTATGCTGCATATTACATCCCCATATCTTATTTATAATGGGGAGATTGCACCTCTTAATCTTCTTCATCTATTTCATCCACCCTACCCCGCCAACCCTGAAACCTCCCCTCTGGCAACCATCAGTTTGTTCTATTTATGAGTCTGTTTCTATTTTGTTCTGTTTGTTTTGCTTTTTAGGTCCCATATTAGTGAAGTCATATAGTACTTGTCTCTCTCTGCCTTATTTCACTTAGCTTAATACCTTCTAGGTTTATCCACGTTGTCACAAATGGCAAGATTTCATCATTTTTTATGACTAATATTTCATTGTACGTACATACCACATCTTCTTTACCCATTAATCTGTTGATGGACAGAGAGGTTGCTTCCATATCTTGGCTACTACAAATAATGCTGTGATGAACACAGGGTGCATATGTCTTTTTGAATTGTATTTTCACTTTTTTTAGATTAAGTATCTAGAAGTGTAATTTCTGGATCACATGGTAGTTCTGTTTTTAATTTTTTGAGGAACTTCCACACTGTCTTCCACAGTGGCTACAAAGATTTACATTCCCACCAAAAATGCAAGAGTGTTACCTTTTCCCCACATCCTTGCCAACGCTTGTTAAGGAACTGTCTCTTTTGAAACAAACTTGAAAAGATAATCTAGCATATGGGAATTACAAACAGTATGGGGAAATGGTATTGAGGTTGAAAATATATATATATATAGCTCATTGACTATCATTGTTAACAGGTGCATGGTAAAGTACTATTTTTTATATTAAAAATATTTTTAACTTAAATTTCACAAATTTGAGGAAAAATTTAACACATTTTTATAGTAATTATCTTAAAATTATGTCACTAGTTGGATATTTTAAATAAAAACTGATTAACTGGACTAAGTCTATTTCCACAAATATTAAAGGTTTTTAGAGATTTTTCAATAACTTCCTCATTCGAGGCAGTCTGGGTGACTTAGCAGTTTAGCACCGCATTCAGCCAGGGTGTGATCCTGGAGATCCAGGATCAAATCCATGTCAGGCTCCCTGCATGGAGCCTGCTTCTTCCTCTGCCTCTCTCTCTGTGTGTGTCTCTCATGAATAAATAAATAAAATCTTAAAACAAAACAAAACAAACAAAACTTCCTCATTATTAGTGCCATTTAAAAGACAATGTCATTATGTTAGTATAGGACAAACTATTTTATGATGAAGTACAATGAACTAATTCTTTTGTTCTACAGGAACTTAAAAAATATTGAACATCACATTAAATAAGTATGTGGGGCTTAGAACTGGTTTGCAGTAAAGATCTTTATCTGAGCAATAGTAAAATCATTCAGACACCAGCTGAGTATTTAAAATCAGTGCATAGCTTGGTCTTTGATCTAAGACAATTTATAATGACCACTTACCATGTTTCTTGTTCTGTCAACATTACTGAGTTTTCCAGATACTGTACTGCAAGTGTTTCCAATAGGTTTTTCAGTAGGGAGAGGAGGTGGGCTTAGTGGATCCTCATGTAAACCTGGAAAAACAGTAGTAATTCATCAATAATTTCTGGCCTTTGGGGATTCCAGAGGATGAAATGATTGCAGCTTGGTTCCTTTAAGAAAATGGCTATCATAAAAGATCCATGCAAAGAATGGACAGCTAAATAAATGAGAAAGAGCTAGGAAACCTCAGAAAACTGATGGATTAGATAATGGATTAGACATCAGTTAGTTTTACTGAATGCTATATAGTGTAAAAATAAAACTAAGTAATTACAATGCAGCCCACATTTCTGAGAACCTTCAATGAGGCAGGCATTAATTAAGGTATTTTGCTCACTTACATTTCTCCAGCCAATGTCCATCTATGTGCTAGATCTGCATAGTTCACTAGCTAGTCATCATATGTGATTTAAACTTAAATCTTAAATAAAACTAAAAATTTAGCTCCTCAGTTGCACTAGCTACATTTCAAGTGCTCAGTAGCCATATATGGCCAGTGGGCACCATTATGGAATATTTCCATCTTTGCAGGAAGTCCTATTGGACAGCACTATGCTAAATAATACCCTACTTACTTTATAAATTAAGAAATCAAAGCTGAGAAGAAAATATATAAGCTATCCAAGGTCTTAATGCTAATAATTGGCAGATCCAGGGTTTTGAACCCTAAAGCCTGTGCTCACTGTAATATGGCATGCTGCTTCCTAATAGGTTGTGTATCCAACCTTCCCCCATTCAAATAATTAAACATGTTTTCTAATTCATTAGCTCTAGATTAATGGACTTAATTGGCTTCATTTTAACAAACAGTATCTTTACATCCAAACTACATCCTTAACTCAGTGATAGCATAACCCCCCCACCAACATATTTTAAAAAGAAGAAAAAGATCAGATTTAATTAGTGACAGCTAATTAAAATCTGTGTATAAAAACGCTTGGAGAGAGCATGACTGTAACATATGAAAGGAGGCTGGAGCCACTTTTACACAGGTTTAGACACTTAAAGGAGATGGGAATCTTTTTCATTCTTTCAAATGAACACTCACTGCTCTCATTTCACATGAAACACCTATAAACAAGAGGGTGATTTGTCAGGTTCCTATTTTATCTACAGACAGGAAAACACTCTCAAAAGGAGGAAAATACCCAGGCCAGCTACTAGGAAAACAATGATGTAGAGGGAGGCAAGCATTCTTAGCTAGAGGCAGGGCTGCTCTGGAAATGAAGACACACAGGAACTCAGTTGCCATCGTGAAGATGCTCACTCCAGTACAGTTTCCTTATTTTTTTTTAAGAATTATTTATTTATTTATGATAGACATAGAGAGAGAGAGAGAGAGAGAGAGAGAGAGAGAGAGAGAGAGAGAGAGAGAGGCAGACAGAGTGTGTCACAGGCAGAGGGAGAAGCAGGTTCCATGCCGGGAGCCCAACACGGGACTTGATCCTAGGACTCCAGGATCGCGCCCTGGGCCAAAGGCAGGCGCTAAACCGCTGAGCCACCCAGGGATCCCCCCAGTTTCCTTATTCTTATAAGGAAATGATGAATCACCTAGGATATTGAATTGTTGTGACAAACGATTAAGGATACAAAGCAATAATAATCTGAAAATAGAGAGGAGATACCTTACTGGCAAGGATGGGACATAGGGATTAAAAGGTATGAATGTGTGGGTTAGGTGAAGATTTCCAATTTCCAATAATGGGGAGTGACATTTGAGCAAAGACCTGAAGGAATGTTGAAGAAGTGAGCCATGCACCTATCTGGAAAAAGGATATCCTAGTCCAAGGAAACAAGTCTTAAGGGGAAAGAGCTGACGGGCTCAAAGACCACCAAGGAGTTTGGTACCACAAAGCTATTCCTTTCTTCGCTTAACCATTCCAAGTTCTTCCAACACCAAATAACTTTTTTTCCCTCCACAGCACATATGAATTGCTTAATAACTGTAATAATACAATTCTGGGGAAGTGGTTTTTGATATAAATAGAAATAATGCTCTAGAAATTGGCACTTCAGTTCTTTTGTGTACAGCAGTTAGAATCCAACTTTCTAACAGTTCCTGGAACTTTGTCAGAATAATAAATAAAGGTGCTTCCTCAATATATCTTTTTCAGTATTTCAGGACTATTAATCCCATTTATAAGTAAGCAGAAAAGAATAAACGTAGTAGGCCTGAGACTGCTTATCCCTAGAAAGGCCTGCTTCCAAGGTTGGTCCTTACTGGAATCTGGGAACTTGGACTTTGGGAAGGTTCCTACCATCCCCAGAACTAATAAAACAAAAGAATATGGTTTATGCTGAATACCTGCTTTCCTTCAGGGAATCTGGAATTTTGGAACATGCCAAAATTCTAGACGTGCCTATGTGACCAACCTCTAATAAAAGCCCTGGGTGTTGAGAGTCTAATGAGTTTCCTTGGTTGACAACATTTCACCTGTGTTGTCACAACTGGTTCCTGGGGGAGTTAAGTATAGCCTTTGTGATTCCCCAGGGAGAGAACACCTAGAGCTTGTGCCAGGTTTCTTTCTTTTTTTTTTTTTAAATTTTTTATTTATTTATGATAGTCACACAGAGAGGGAGAGAGAGGCAGAGACACAGGCAGAGGGAGAAGCAGGCTCCATGCACCGGGAGCCCGATGTGGGACTCGATCCCGGGTCTCCAGGATCCCACCCTGGGCCAAAGGCAGGCGCCAAACTGCTGCGCCACCCAGGGATCCCCATTGTGCCAGGTTTCATCCAGACTTTGCCCAATGCAGCATTGCCCTTTGCTGATTTTGTTTTGTATAGTTTTACACAAATCAAAGTTCTGACATAACTATATGCTAAGTCCTGTGAGTCCTCCTAAGGATGATCAAACCTGGGGTCTTGGGGATCCTGATACAACAGGAGAATAAATTTAACTGTAAAAACTGTATTACCTAAAACCCACACAAACTTCAGGTAGTATTTATTATCATTGTATTTCACTACGCCTGTTAAAAAATAGAATACGGGATCCCTGGGTGGCACAGCAGTTTAGTGCCTGCCTTTGGCCCAGGGTGCGATCCTGGAGACCCAGGATCAAATCCCACGTTGGGCTCCTGGTGCATGAAGCCTGCTTCTCCCTCTGCCTATGTCTCTGCGTCTCTCTCTCTCTCTCTTTCTCTCTCTCTCTCTCTCTGTGTGACTATCATAAATAAATAAAACTTAAAAAAAATAGAATACATTTTAACAGCAAGCAGGCAAACAACCCAGTGAACTATGGTCTGTGATACTTATACAGTTCACTGATTTGTGGGCCATACAATGCGGTCAAGAGAAATATACCACCAGGTCTTTAATCTACTCTATAACCTCCCAAGAAAGCACGAATCCTCCAGAATTTGGTACCCTTGACTTTTTCTCCTCCTCGTTCTTCACAGCAACTCAGTTTAATCTTCTCACTGTGTGGCTTAGAGCCATCAATTAATAACAAAGCACTCAAAAGACCAAAACCAATATGATCTTTCTGGGTAGTTTTTTTTTTTTTTCTTCTGGGTAGTTTTTTATAGAAAAAGCAAACCCCTGAACTAAAAAGGTTTCACGGCATTCCAGGGTATGCCTGCAAAATAACCTGGGGATGCTACAGATAAATGAAGGATTGGAATACTTTATCTGCTACTAGGAGGAGCAGGATCTCTTGTTAGGTAAGGCAAGGATGCATGTGGACTATGCAAAGGCACTGAATGAAATGAGAGCAGAAGCTCAGGGCAAAAGCTGTGTGATTCACTCCAAGCAATGCCAGGAACGGCTATGGAAACCACTGTACAAGCACATGCATGCACATACACACACACCTTTTAACAATTTCCAGGGTATAATATAATAAATGGGCCTGGCTCTCTTGGCTTTACTCTTATAGTAAATATCATAATTCTTTGCAGTCTTCATAAAAAACTCATACCATTTATTGTACCATTAAAAAAAATCAAGTAAGGAATAACATCAAAATATAGTATTACACTAATTTAAAAATTTTTTAGACATTATTATGTCTTTACAACTCTTGGTTACCGCTCTTCACACAATTCCTACATTCTTATACTTAGATTATGATGGTTGGAATAAAATACTATATCCAGATAGACACATACAACTTTATTTGCTATCAGTTTCCATTAGGATTGACAATAGACATTTGAACAAAATGGGAGTCAGAGGTGCTGACACTGTTGAAAATCTACATGTAATTCTGACTCCCCCGACATGTAATTTACCTAATAGCCTGCTGATACCATAAATAGCCGATTAACACAGATTTTATATGTATTACATACTGTATTCTTATAATACATAAGCTAAAGAAAATGTTATTAAGAAAATCATAAAGAAAACACATTTATAGTAGTGTACTGTAAAAAACTGCATTTAAGGGGACTGCAGTTTATACTCATGTTGTTCAAGGACCAATTGTACTTTCCCACCATCTTTACCATTTACCAATAGCAAGCAACCTAAGTTTCAGTCTCCCTCTATTCTCTCTGCCTAGAGTCAATGGTATAGAGAAATGAAATCCACAATTTACCGTACCGACTGTCTAAGGAACTGTGAAAAAATAACTTGCTTTTAAATGTCCTTTGACTATAAATAATAATAAATGGCCGATTATACATAATTTTGGAAGCAGACATTGATAAATTAGTATATACTTCTCCCAGGCTTGAGGAGAAGCAAATAAAGAAGGCAGATTAGTGCTTACATTTTCCTGGTTTGGCTGGAATTCGAATCACAGTGGGCTTCCTGGTGGGAGCTGGTTGAACTGCTCCTTCTTTTGTTGGTTCTGTTTTTATGGGGAGCTGAAAGGGATCTAATGAAAAACACAGTTTATTTTGCATATTTTAGTTAACATGGACTCAAACAAAAAACCTCATTCATAATTAAAGAGTCATATTTTCATGCCCCAGGGAAAACTATTCATGGATAAACAGAATCTCAGCTTGCAGAGACAAAAACAAAGTCAGAGCTCATGAAAGGAAATAACTTGGTGCTCTGTAAATAATTCATGTGGCTTTTCTTCCTCTCTGATGAGAGATATCCAGGACAATCCTGAATTATGTAGAAGTCATCTTTCATGGGAGTACAATCATTTCATAAGTGTCGCCTGAAAACGAGGGGGAATTGAAATGAGGAGCCAATTTCCCCCCTATTGTGAAGCCTTTCAGATGCCCCAGGAAAGAAAGTCTTTTCTACCCCACAGCCCTGTGCCTGGCCCAGGAAACTTAGGTACAAAGCTCGCGAAGGGCTCTCATCCTACCCAGCACTGTGCCTGGCACAGGGCAGGTGCTCAGCAGAGTGTTAGTTAATTTAGTAAAACCACACTTCAGTTAACATGAAAACGGAAAGTGTTTTATCCTGGAAATAAAATAAGACATCTTCCTTAAAATATTTAATTTGGGGGCAAAGATACAGGGCTTGGCATTTTTCCATCTTAACTGGTTCATTGAAAATTAACAGTATATCCTCAGAGAAAGTATTTTAAACAAAGACTTAACTACCAACCTTTTTTTTTTTTTTTTTTTTTACTGAAACAAATAATCTTTTTTTGTCTTTAATGTAAATATTCTTCTCAGTAGTTTGGGAAAATGACCATAACATTTTTTAAAGAGGAGAAATCTAAAAATAAACAGATTAGCAAAAATAAAATAAATGCTGTATAATACTCTGTATAGCACTCAGGATCCATGGAGGCCTCCTTTGCCTTTATTCCACAAAAGGCAGAACGAGTACATGCTCTAATTCTGCACCTGTTCTACAGACTCTTAACTATAGGGACACAGTCCCTGGAAAAACAATGTACACACCATAGCTACTGTGATGAAGAGCATTCATAGGCTGCCTACTATGAGCTGTATAGTTCGATAAGCACCTTTTGCCGACCAGCTATTTTTCAGGACAAAGAGCTGAGCTAAGGATAAGAAGGACTTTTGGCCCCGGGACACCTGGCCTTCCCTTACCCCCAGCTCCCGGGCAATCCTACCATTCATTATACACGCCACCAAAGGCATCACTCACTCACTAGCCACTTGTTCACGTGTATATGTCTACCCTGTGCCAGTAACAGCAGCGGGGGGGGGGGGGGAGATGCTATGGTAAGGTACAATTCTATTTTATTATCTACCACCTAGGAATGGCTTCCAAGTGGCATGCCAGGTAAAACAATTATTACTAGGCTACTGAGACAAAAATAAATTAGAAGACCCTTTCCTGGAAACCTATCTATTAGCTCAAAGTGAGGCAAGACTTGTCTAAGTGCAAAAAACCAACTCTTTCTCTGTGTCAAATAAATAAAATATTTTTTAAAAATGAATATATAAAATCCTGTTGTTGGAAAGACAGTCGTAGAGGCACCTGGCTGGCTCGGGTGGTTAAGCATCTGCCTTCAGCTCAGGTCATGATCCTGGGGTGCTGGGATCAAACCCTGAGTTGGGCTCCCCCTCAGTGGGGAGTCTGCTTCTCCCTCCTCTCCCGGCTTGTGATCTCTCTCTCTCATGCTCTGTCAAATAAATAAAATTTTGAAAAAAGAAAAACTCGAGTATCAAAACAATATCAAACTTGAAAAAAAGGCTCTTGTAATCACATAAGTTTCTTCCACCGTAACCTATTTCTGCACAAAACAAAGTTCCTTCTTTTAGATCTAACCAAATTCTTAAATTCTATATTTTGTTATAGCATTTTACTTTAAAAGTAGTATTTATTATAAAAATAGGGAACATTAAGAAATATATGATGGAAAGTCTTCTGTAATCCTATCCCTCCAGTAATAATTAAAGTTTGATGTATCTACCTACAGATATTTTCCTACAGTACATGTATTCTTATGTAGGTATTTTGATAAAGAAAAAAAAAACCAAGATTTTATATCTTTCTTTGTAATTCGCTTTTTCACTTTTGTTCACTCAGAATTGATTGGATGTCTGCTACAAATCAAATGCTATTCAAGGTGCTTGGAATACTTCAGTAAACAAAGCAAAGAACTCTGCTCTCACAGCACTTACATTCCAGCAGGGAGATGGAGATAATAATCAAAATAATAATAAATAGTTCACGTGGTATATTACGTGAGAAGTACTACTGAAAAATGGAAAAGTAGAGCATGGTGAGAAACTTCGGGTGTGGGCAGAAGGGAAGCAGGTTGTAGCATAAAACAAGAGTGCAGGGGGTGAGGGAGGGGAGTTCTTTATGACCATCTCTCCAACAACTGGATTTTATATATTCATTTTTAAAAAAGATTTTAGTTACTTGACACACACAGAGAAAACACAAGCAAGGGGAGCTGCTGAGGCAGAGGGAGGAGCAGGCTCTCCACTGAGCAAGGAGCCTGACACACAGAACTCCATCCCAGGACCCCGGGGGGCATGACCTGAGTCAATGCTTAACTGACTGAGCTACTCAGGTGCCCCCGGACTTTACATATTCTAATAGTTCTTCCAACTTGAGTAATATATATCTGGTCTCTGGGAAACAGCAGTGCCAATGGATAAAAAGTGGTACTGCTCTTGCATTAAAGTGATTATTGCAAAAAAAAAAAAAAAAAAAAAGCGGGGGGGGGGGGGGACGTGCCTGGGTAGCTCAGAGGTTGAGCTTCTGCCATTGGCTCAGGTCATGATCCTGGGGTCCTAGGATCGAGTCCCACATCAGGCCCTCTGTGGAAAGCCTGCTTCTCCCCTCTGCCTATGTCTCTGCCTGTGTGTCTCTCACGAATAAATAATATCTTTAAAAAAAAAGCCAATTATTGCAAATATTACCAGAATGTGAACTCTCTGAATGGTTCTTCTATTCTGAGTAATACTATAGTAGGTAAAGCGAAGGAATCTGAAGACCCTATGTCAATCCCAGCATGCATTTTATTCAAACACAAAACACCGTACCTTTCCTTTGTGCTTATTTTTCCTTTCTGTTAATTTCTCTTCCTACTATTTCCTTTGCTCTGTCTCCTTGGCTCTTGTTGGAACCCACTGACTTCCAAGGACCCACTTTCCTTCCCCCAGCTGCGGTAGAGATCTGATCCTTCAGAGACTTGACTGTTACCCCTGCCCCCAATCTTGGTTGTCACATCCCATTCTTTCAGGGCTCTGTTTTATGTTGGGAAAAGGACCAAACATTCAAGAAAAAGATTAACACTGGTAACTGTTCACTGTGTTCTACCTTTCAAGTGGTATTTCTGCTTTAATAGCTGCTTCCGGTATCTATAATCTTTTGGTTATTAGTATAGACCTTTAGTTGATGGTTTTGGGGTGGGTGTGGAAGGGGAAGAAAATCTTGAGCATGGCATAACTTCAATTATTTCCCAACTCATATTATATCCTGAGCCTATACTCTCTCACATTCTAGAAGGGAGGGCATGAATGAGGGGAAAAGACACCCATTAATGCCTTGAGGGGTGAAGCACAGGGGCATCCAAATTATGCCTGCTGGTGGAGGATTGGCCTTAAGATACCTGTTGCCCCAAATCCTGCATACTGCAGATCTCACCTATTGCATGGAAGGGCCCAGTTATTATCATTTTTTAGATAATAAAAGGATTAAAAGGATTTAAATTGAAGTGGTATAGATACAATTTATATAACACAGTATTCAAAGTGTCCTAGTTACCTACTCTTTCTCTTTTGGTCTTCATTTTTAATATCATCAGCTACTATTTCATAATACTACTTAGATCATGTAAAATTATTCTACTACATATGTCTCTGGAAAAAAATTCTTTCTTAATACAGGGAAGCAAATATGTCTGAAGTGTTCCAGTACTGCAGGCTGTTGGGCAGGAGTGGGTCTGTTTAATGACCTGCCCCAGCTGTGCTCACAGAGTCAGTGAGCTCAGCACCTGCCTGTCTGTCTGCATGCTGTCCAGGGCTCTAATCCAGACGAGGTGTGCAGATTAGAGGGGAGGATGAACAGCATCACTTCAATAGGGAGGTAGAACCAGAGGCCTGTTTTTCATCTTGATGATGGTGTGCAAATCTTTTTAGCTACACGGTATGGAGTTTACATTTTATCTGTTCATGAGTAGGGTATTTTTTTCTGACAGAAATATAAGCGGGCAGCATATAAAGCAAGCACGGCATCTCATGTTTGGGAACTCCAGGCACTGCCAAGTGGGAAGCTGGATCACTGGTACTGTGAAAATGCTTAATGTTCATAACCTTTGACACAGTAGCCTCACTTCTGGAAATTTATTCTTCATCTTCAGAAATAAAAGCATCAGTAGGAAAGACAATGTTTATAATAGTGTTTACTGTAGCATTTTCTGTAGGGAAAAAGGAAATCCAAAAAAATTAAGAGCAATGTCCATGAATAGGTGAAATATTGAATCAACTGATAAACTCACACTAAGAAATATTAGGCAGGTATAAGGAAGGAGTTAGACCAACTGGACTGAAAAGAAGTCCATAAATTTCACTATTAAATTAAAAAAAGGCAAGGTATAATATGATAAAAATGTAAAAAGTAAGGAAAAGTACATGTATGTATGTTTGTAAGCTTTGGTTTGAAGCGTCCAAGGGCATGGAAAGTTACATAGAACATTGTTCAAGCTGGTTACTCTTGAGGATATGGATGGACTAGAGGGAGGTAAATTTTATTTTTCCTTTTAGTAAATTTTGTATTGTTTGACTTGTTACAGCAAGTATGTGCTACTTTGTAACTGAAAAAATCCAATAAAATAAACTCAATCACAAGAAGAAAGTTATAAGATTAAGCTTAAATAATTGCCCTGTCAAACAAACCAAACCTAAAACCACTTAAAAAATAAGGGGGGAAAAAAAAGAAAATTCTTATCACTTTACTTGCTTTTTAAAGGCAATAATGGCCATAAAATTTTCCATAAGGTAATTAGAAAAATTAAAACCTTTCTGGAAAATTAAAACTCTTTTTTGATTCTATTTAATAGGATTTAAGGCACATGTATGTTTTTGAATGTCTTATTTACACATATGCAGTTCAAAATAATTAGCTTTTACTTATCATCTTGAATAATACAGCAATTTAGAAAAATATATTAATTATTTTAAAAATTTCTACTCAAGATAAGACTGAGGATCAGTATGGGAAGCAGCTCTCTATGGCAAAGATGACAAGAGCTAACTCTCCCACTTTTTCATCCTAATTCTCTCTATGGTTAGATATTTGAAAACTAGGTTCCTCATCTTCTCCTGCCAACCCAGTTCCCTCATAAAGACTACCTTTGTTACTAACTTTTTATACATCTTTCCAAAGATACTACACAAACAGTAGCTAAAATACCATGGGGAAAAAAAAAAAGAAAAGAAAAAAGAAATAAAAATCAAATACCATGAATACGAACTATACCTTACAGTTTTTCACTTAATAATATCTTGGGGATTGTCCATGGTAGGAGGTAACAGGGGGTGTGCCTCCTTTTTAATTAGCATGGGATCCTCCATTGTATGGATGTACCATTATTTAAGCAGTTCACTGGAGGCTATTGCAATATTCTATAGTAGAAGTCCTTCATTTGGGGTTCAAGAATGGGCCGTTGAGGCTCTGGAAATTGTGCATACATGAGCTGAAGGGCTATTTTCAAGGGAGATAAAAGATTCGAAGGATAATCTGATTCTCAGAGTTCTGTGATTCCCAGAAGGGGTTAAGGACCACAGTGCCACAACTGTATCACAGAGTTTTTGCTCTTCCTTCTACAGAAAAAATACAAAACATCTCAAAAAACATCTCCTGTCCAAACCTACGTCAAGTCCATGGCATTTTTCTCTACCTTTATTTGCAGATTTATTCTGCTCTCCTTCTAGCACCCCACACCAAACCAATTATTCTATACCTGCTGCCACAGAAGCAGGCCCCTTTACACCTCTATCCGCATGGTCTTCATTACTGGGCTAGAAAAACACTGATGGTAATGTAGTTTTCTGCCTATTACCTGTCTCTAATAATATGCTTGTCATCATAATTAGTTTCACCATCCTTGGCTTGCTTTTCTGTCATTTCTTTCCCTTGAGTTCTGTTAATAGCAGAAATTGGCTGCTAAACTATTATTCTGCTCTGTGTAATGGGGCTGACAGCAGAAGCAGTCTGCTTTTTTTTTTTTTTTTTTTTTTTTGACAACTGGGTATGATTTGTAAAGGTGTGAAGAGGAATTGCTAATACTTCTCAGCTCCATTACATTAACCTGGAAGGCATTCTACCCAAGAAACGAATCCAATATTAAATTGCTTGTTTTATGAGTTTTCCTTTAATAATTTTTCTAATCTTTACAATGTTTTCACAGCTTTGGTATTCTCTGATCTCTACTTCCTGAGATTAATATGGCAACTTCATTTTATGAAAGCCAGTTTATTAGATTTTTCCTTATTTCTGAGGGAAGGAAAACGAGGAAAGGTATATTTGTGCGTTCCTCTCCTTTCTCTTGTCTTCCTCTCTGTTTCTGGCGAATGCCAGGATGAACAAGGTTTCACAAAGAGACCATAATCCTTTATTTACAAAGACAATGCTATTGATATACATCAAAAAGTCACAAAACCCCAAATCAACAAACAAAAATCTCTCTACATGTTGAGGAATTCAGAGGAGATCCTAAAGGCCTCTGGAAGACACTAAGCAGGGAAGGATGAGGTCCAAGGTACACTCTAGCCACAATATGGAGGATGATGGGTTTGAGGCAGAAGCAGGAGCTCAATTTAGGAGATTATACAGTATCTGGCATAAAGGCCTAATGTGCAGCAGTACAGGGGGATGTTTGAAAGGAGAGGAGGATTCAAGAACTACTTAGAAAGTTAAACCAGGAGTTGGTAACTAATTGGATGTGAAGATCAAGAAGTAACAATAATTACTACTTAATGAGCACATACAATGTTTCAGACAATGGGGCAGGGCTTTCCTGCATAATCACATTTAATCCTTGTATTGCCTCCATGAGGAGTATTATTACCATGTTTTATAGATGAGGAAACCAAGGCACAGTGGGGTTAAATAAATTGCCCAAAGTCACATGGCAATGAAGTGACAGACTCTGGCCTGTCTGACTCCACGTCCAAACAAACAGCCATGGTGTCACAGGTAGGGAGACTCAGAGGTGATCTCCAGGATTCTCTAAGGAAGGCTGGGTATATGATGGTGCTATTAAGTGAGGTGTACGGAAAACAGGAGGAGGGGCAGGTTGGAAAGATGATAGAGTAAGCATTCAGTGTAACCCCACCATCGAGAGCCATGGTTAAAGTCAGGTAGGGCAAGCAAATTACACATTTTGCTAAGAGATTGCCTAAGTAATTAAATGTTGTGCAACGAAGTGGTAGAAATCAAGGAACAGAAAAGGCTGAGTACGGGGCATGAGACTATATTCATGTTGAATGTATACTGTTGACCTTATTTTTGGAGGATGACTCTAATTATGTTTGATGACAGGGAATTTATTCTCAGCAGTTATTATAACCAAGTTGCCATCCCCACAGAAATCTAGCAGTTTCTACAAAAGGTGGTGTTTCCTTGGCCTGTGCTAGTTCCACCCCTTCAGAGCTCACTGTTGTTGGATTGACCCATCCCTGTCTCACCTTGAGCCTTGCAACACCAACAAGGTTTAAATGAGAAAATGACATAACAAAGACTTGAAAAGTTTTCAAAGTGTTAACCTAGTCTAAAGATTCATACAAATGTCGAGTAGCAATGTAATACAATGAAAAATACACTAGACCCAGAGTAAAAAGATGGAACGTGAATCATGCCTTGGAAAGTGTTAGTGCTATGACACTGGGTAAGTAACCCACTGATTTCTCTCCATCTCATTTTCTTCTTCTGCAGACGGAGGCCAACAATACCTGGCAGAGAGTTACTGTAAGTATTAAACTAATGATGTATGTCTGGGTATCTAGCAGAAGGTTTGGAACACTGCAGAAGCTCAGCATATTCTAATGTCTTTCCTTGTAGCCCTTATAGACAAGAGGCATGCTCTAGCTACTTAAATGTTGTGTGTGGGATATTTAATAATGTTTGTTATCATTTAAAATACACTTGTGCTGTGCAGAATTTGGTTTCCAATCACAGAGCTTATATCATTTTGATGCATGTTAAGCATTTATAAGATGACACCTAACCTTTTGAAAATACTATTAAGCTTATATGTTCACAAATGCTACCCAAATAAGTAAACAGCAGTAAAAGGAATCATCAATGACAAGTAAAGCAGCTTATTTTGACAAATCAAAGATAAGCTCTACCATCGTACCCTCCATCAGAGCAGTGTGAGGAAAGAAAACATACTCTCTGGATTTCCTCTTGAGAAATTTAATTGTCCTGATCTTGGCAGGAAGTGTACAGCTGTTGTATTTTATTTATAAAACTTTGCATTCCCAAGGGAAGATGTTCTGTGAAGATTAGTGAAAAAAAATTGGCTACATATGGCTGAGTCTTCATTCCTGGCTTTGCTCTTGCCGGAGTTCTCTCTAGGGCTGGCCCCTCTCCTGGCACTCCCAGTGGGGCTGGTTTAATCTGAGGAGCCCTTCTGCAGCCACCGCATGACTTCCCATCTATGAGAAATTTCCCCTGAATCTCACTGATGCTTGACTCGCCACCTGCTGGAGTAAAGAATCCAACTTCATAGCAAGTTTAGTTGCTAGGCCCAGTCTGCTTATTCTTGGCTTAAGCGGTAGTCATCAACATGTCTCCCTCTTTCTCTGTCTCCATCTCCCCCATTCCATACTTCCCTGTCCTTCTCTATGTCCATCTCCTACCCAGCTCCATGTTTCTTAATCTCTTTGTGCTTCTGTCTCTGTACACACAGGCATGTGCACACGTGCGTGCACGCACATGCACACACACATCCCACTATAAATTGTGTCCTAGAAACTAAAACAGCAAGTGGCATTCAAGATACCCTGTGATAAGTTTACATTCCCACTCCACTTCTCATTTTTACTTACCCAGAACCATCTCTGAACCAACAGATTCTTCAACCAGGTTCCCAGCTGGGGTGGGTAAAACATCATCATCAAAACTGATGAGGTCAATGTCCCCTGGAGGCTTGCTTTGCACAGCTGGAGCTGGGGAGTTGGCTGGGGGCCCTTCTCCCAGTGACCTGAATGCTTTGGCCTGTGATGCCACTGAGAGTCGGGGAGGAACGGTGACTGGTTTCAGCAAAGTTGTAGGGTTGGGGTTTTCCAAGGAAACTGATTTCTTCGGCAACAAAGGCCGGGGAGCAGGAGTTGGGACTTTCTTCCCACCGTCAGGGCTCTCAGCCATGGGCCCTCCTCCCAGAATTTCATGATTAACACTTCGTATAAGGCCAGCATTTGGTTTCTTTGGCAATAAAGGTTTGGTTACTGGGATGCTCCCTACTTCTTGCGGTGGAGAGTGTGGAGTGAGTCCTTCCCTAGGGGCCACCTTGAGTCTGTTTTCAGCCCAGGAGTCCCATTCTCCAGAAGCTCTGTTGGCAGCTGGCTTGGGAGCCACTGAAGGTTTCCCTGAGGGAGCAGCAGGCCTTGGGGGGAGTGTGCGGGGTGCAATTTCTGGTTTTGCAGGGAGTCCCGAGGTTTCTTTATTTGTCTGACTCTCAAATGCTTTAATTCTTGAAACGACAGTATTTTGGCTTCGTTCTGTGTTCATAATGTTCATCACTGCCTGACTATCCAAGTTGTTGGTACTGTCCAACAGAGACTGGGGCTGGCTCAGAGAGGATTCCTTTTCTGTAGCCGCAGGGCTGGTTTTGTGGTGATTTTGCTCTCTAAGGTGACTATCTCTGGCTATTGGTCTGAGGTTGGCTTTTGATCTTGGTCTTGGCACCGGACATCTTGTAGCACTGGAGTTCTCTGGGCAATTCTGTTCTTCAGAATTATCAAAGACTATTAAAGGCGCCACATTTGTTGGAAGATCACTGGCTGAGACTTCCGGGAAAGGCTGGAGAGGCTTGAGAGGTGCCTGTAGTGCTGACAAGACCAAAACCCACAGAAAGAAGTTGCAATATTATAATTTAAAAGAAAAAAATAGAGATACACAGACTGTTTAAATATACATGCAGAATATCAAGAGATTTTGGTTTCTTTAATTAGTAAAAAGTAACTCCAAAATCAATGGGGGAAATGTTTACACTCAGCTTCTCACAGGAGTGTTCTCCAAGTTATACTTATTCATGAGAGAAATATTCATTACATAATATTTTAAAACACCATTAAATTCTCGATTCCCAGTAGACTTATCACATGAATCCTTTCCTTCTCATCAGAATTCCAACACTGTTTACTTTACTTTTCCAAAGTAACTTACTCTCATCTCTGTTATTTGAATACAATGCTTTCTAAAGCCTCATAGGACAACCACCTATTTACACCTTATCAAGTTTAGGTTGCTAAATATAAAATCCTTCTCAATGGGAATAAAGGGGATCCGCAGTAATACAACCATGAGTTAAAAGGATGATGTTTTTGTGATATGAACTGGGGTGAGCCCCAGAGATTGGGGCTGCAGCTCATGAGAATGATCTATTGTAATAATCACACCAAGCCAAAATAAAGGAAGCACACAGTGATCATACTGACTGGGAGGCAGAGCTCAATGAATTATGCACAAGTTGCAAATTATTTTAAAGGCTGGAAGCCTCCTGATTACTTCCCTAGGACTAGGTCAGAATTAGGGAAGATGGATTACTTGCACCACTTTGAGGCAGGTGGTTGTCTATTTCTTCTGAAAAGTCAGTCTGAGTTGCAGAAGTAATTGTGTGCCTTGGAAGGGCAGCAGCATTATTATTATTCGTAGTATTAACTTGAACTTGGTTGATTTCTTTTATGACTTGTTCATAAGATGGTGGGAGCTGCAAGACAAAAAATGAAGAGTTTAGACATTTGTGGACAAGAGACAAAGGGTTAACAGTCTCATTCTTCTCATCTTTGAGCTTACTTTTAAAAAATAGAATGCAAAAATAAAATAAAATAAAATAAAATAAAATAAAATAAAGTAAAATAAAATAAAATAAATAAAAAATAAAATGCAAACAGATAATGTGATATTATTTACCTCAGCAGGAACCAGCTCACTGGGCCTCCACGGGCCGGCTGCAGAAGATGGGGGATACCCCAGGCCCGGGGGTGGGGCTCCTGGAAACCACGAGGCCGGCCTCAGGGGCTCAGCTGCCACAATGGTGATCTCTGGGCGCCTAGCAGACAAGATCTCAGTGAGAGTTTGCAGGCTGGTAACAAGCTACTGCCTATCTGCAAATACTCAAAGATTGGTGAAAACAACCACTGCCCTCCAAAAGTTACATTATAACGACCATAGTCCTAGAGATGATCTGTCTGGCCTGGACTCTCAAGGGAGCAAATGACAGTCATCCTTCTAGGACTCTGGGGCCCAAAGTTAAAGATGTACCCTGAGCACACTTAGCTCTGCCTTGGTTGTTAAGGACTAAGGTAGGCCCACCTAATTTTTTCATTCCAGAGTTCTGCTATCCAGCCTATACCACGAACATAAATAATACATGGTAAGGTAGAAAGTATACTGGACACGTAGAATTGCTTATTTTCCTGCCATTATAAATAATATACTCTGACACGATACCATATAAAAAGAATATCCTTTTCCTCCTCATCCAACCCCTGTGCCAATTCAAAGTCATCTCTAGATGATTATCTCTAAATAGAGTTTGCATATTCACTTCTAGCCCTTGATAGGTGTGTCTGTGCTCCTGGTCAGTTTGATATATGAATCTGATAATTAAACTAATATTGCGGAGGCACAGGGATTCAGGTACAGCTCCTTTCATCACTTTCTTAATCTGATTCTACATTCTCATGTTCAATTTTTTTTAGATTTTTTTTTTAATTTTTTAACTTATTTATGATAGTCACAGAGAGAGAGAGAGAGAGAGAGAGGCAGAGGGAGAAGCAGGCTCCATGCACCGGGAGCCCGACGTGGGATTCGATCCCGGGTCTCCAGGATCACGCCCTGGGCCAAAGGCAGGCGCTAAACCATTGCGCCACCCAGGGATCCCCATGTTCAAATTTTATATTCAACCTCATTTCCTAACAAATGCCAACTGTGTGACCCTGAGGAAATAATCAACCTCTCTGAGCCTCAGTTTTCTCATCTAACAAATAGGGATGATGATATCTGCCCTGCTTTTCTCTAGAACTCTGTAGAAATAAAAATAAAAAAGCACTGATGTTATCAAAACTGGGCATATTCATGCATTCTTGTGCTAGCTAGCTCATGAAACAGTAGAACCTGCTTACTGATTACATTTGAATTGCATTACCTAAAACCCTCTGCTTATAGCTTTTGTCTAACTAAATAATAAGGGTTACCAGCTAATAAATATTAAGCACTATGCAAGTAGTAATTCTTATGACAGCCTTGTCATGTATGACCAGCAACATTTTTTTTTTAAGATTTTATTTTTAAGTAATCTTTGTATCTAACATGGGGCTCGATTTTACAACCCCGAGATTAAGAATCATGTATTGTACTTACTGAGCTAGCCAGGTGCCCCATTAGCAACATTTTAAAGATAAGCATCTTTTAAAAAGTTAAGCATCTGCCTTCGGCTCAGGTCATGATCCCAGGGCGCTGGGATGAGTCCCCCATGGGGCTCCTTGCTCTGCAAGGAGTCTGCTTCTCCCTGTCTCTCTCTTTGCCTGCCACTCCTGCTTGTGCTCTCTTTCTCTGTGTCAAATAATTAAATTAAATTAAATTTAAAAAAGATGGGGATACAGAAGCTAAGAAAAGGTTAAACAGCTTGCTCAAGGCCATATAGTGGGGATGTAGTGAAGTCAAAATTTGAACTTGGTTATGTATGATTATAAAATCCTCATTCTTCACTATTCTATGCTATCCTGTAAGAAATTTGAAATCAGGGACCCTGACTTATAAAAATCCATCCAACTATTTATCCACCTATCCATGTTTCCATCCATTCTTCCATCTGTCTGTCTACTGGTCCTTCCTTCTACCTATCCAGTGACTCTTCCCCCACTCCTCTCCAACCAGACATTAAGCCATTTACCCACTCAGCTATCCATCCAACCTCTTTTCCTCTCCTTATTCTTCCATTCAATTTTCTATCGTGTCATCCATTTATTTATGCAACATTTACCAATTAGCTAAAAGGTAAAAAATATTTCTTTGAGCAATTCTTTGAAGCAGTCATAACAGTGTTTAACATATAGCAGTTGCTTAATAAACATTTTAAAAATTAACTTCAGTAAATAATTATTGCCACAAGAACATTTCTGAGGCTTGTACCACTGCTTCTTCTCCCACCAACATTTTCTTTCTTTCTTTTTTTTTTTAAGATTTATTTATTTATTTATGATAGACAGAGAGAGAGAGAGAGAGAGAGAGAGAGAGAGAGGCAGAGACACAGGAGGAGGGAGAAGCAGGCTCCATGCCGGGAGCCCGACGTGGGACTCGATCCCGGGACCCCAGGATCGCACCCTGGGCCAAAGGCAGGCGCCAAACTGCTGAGCCACCCAGAGATCCCCCTCCCACCAAAATTTTCATCATTCAAACATATAGATTAATCCAGGAAATGTACTGAACACTGCTTATGTAATACATTGCTTATGCAAGAGAAATATTTAACTTGCTGATAACATACTTTGACTTCATTATTAGCAGAATATATGACCTCTGTTATTACCATACCTCCTTTCTCGATGAAGCTCACTCTGAAAAGAAGTCCGAGAAGCTAAAGAAGAAAGAATAAACTGGTATAGTACAAAATCAGTACATTCAATAAGATTTAAATTTTTTATAGGGTATGTGATTGGAAAAAGTTAGCTTATACTTGAAATCATAGAGGTTGTATGCATTTTAACATCCATAAGTAGAAAAGCAAATCAAAATGATCTTTTTATATGGCATAAAATTAATTTTAGTTATATATTTGAATTGCACAAGAAAAAATAGACTTCAAAAATTCCCCAAAGCACATTCCATGGTTCTGAAAATAATTTGAAGAATGAAAAGAGAAAAGAAGATAGCTATTAAATACAAATTGCCTGGTAAGAGCATTACGACAAAGACACAAAATTACAACGGGCAGAAAAAATTTTAAGTATCTATTTTAATCCATATGACTGCTTTTGCCATGTTTGTTTACAACTCTATTGTAAAGAAAGTGAGAGGGGTCATATTTTTATCTATTTGCTTTTTTTTTTTTCTGGAATTTTACAACCTTTAAGTTGTTTTATTAAGTTCAAAGATAACGACAAATGCCAAAACTGTTCACGACACTTTTATAAACATGTTTATAGCACATATTACTGTATTTGCAGTGCTGACTCTTCCTTCAAGCCTCAAACTCAAAAGACTAGATAGTTCAAACTTTTTCCAAATTTATTTTTAAATTAAATCAAATCTTAATTATAAGATCTGGAAAATGTCACATGTGGTGTCACGTATTATATATATGTGTAATGGAGAATATTATTCCTGTTTTTAAGAAGCACATTCTAACAATAATTTTAAGAAAATATTCAAGTACTATACTGTAAAGAAACACATACAAAGAGGAATTTATTTCAGATATAAACTACTTCTTCAGATCTTTTTAGTACTCTTTCAGTTCTTCTGACTTGTAAAGGCCGACAGTGTGAATCTTTTCTTTCTTCCTCTTATTAACTTCTGATTCTCTCTAAACAAGCTGGGATGCAGGGGTGGAGGTGGGAGGTGGCAATGGCATCTAGGCTGGAGTTGGAGCTGTGACAGTTGAACCTGTGCTAGGCTGGCAAAACTATATCATGAGTCTTATATTCATACTATTTGCTGATTTGTAACATTTTTATCATGAGCTAAACCAAGCTGAGGTGCATTTTGTGTACTGGAATAAAAGAGGACTGAGAGGCTCAAGCTCTGAGCGGTGCATCTGATTTGTAAGAATGGGTTCATTATGTCAGAGAGAGGCTCACCAAGTGTGCTACAATCACATCACCACCATCACGAAAGCCAGAATCAGCAGACACAAACACTATTAAAAGATATCAGGTTATTGTCACAAACATACCTCTTCCACGGGGCATTTTTGCTGTGCACTATTCATGAGTGCTAAGGGAAAAAAAGAAGGGGTTATAGAAGAAGAAAGGGAGGGAAAAAAAAGAGTGAACCAGTTGCCTATGCTTTAAAAGGAATTCAGGAACAAGACTGTTCTGCAATGCCACTGTTTTCACCCAATCTGCACATTTTGACAGAAAAGGAAAGTTGATGCACCACAGTTTCAGAGAGTAAAGAAATAGGTTGCGACAAAGATATATCTGTACAGACCCGGACATTCACCCACATAACCCCAGTAAAAACAAATCTACCTATAGTTTCTGACAATATTGCAAACTACCCCCCAAACCTAAAAACCATTTTGCAAAATCAATTCGCTACTTAATAGGGATTAATTTTAAAGTATGAATACAGGATTTAAAAGGTAATCTGGTAGTCAATTTACATTCTCTTAAATCACTGGCTTTCACACTTGATTCTGCCCCTTAACACCAGAGGCGGTTAGTAATAGAGTGTCCTGGTTAGCAAAGGGGTATTCCTGCTTTGGAAGTAGCAGAATGAGGGAGAGAGGGTCTCCCAACCTTACTTGTGGATCTCCTCCATGTCCTTTGCGAATCACTGCTTTCCTGTCTCCTGCTTTCCTGAGGTTTTTTCCCCTCACATTCTCTCAGCTGTGAAATCTCTTTTCTTTCTTGATCTTTATAGAATAACTGGCTCTTTCTGGGAGTATTAAGCAAGTTTAGTAGCTAGAAACACATTAGATTTTCATACAGCATCTCATACTCTTCCTGCTAATTTCTCAACTATCTATTACTCTCATTCTTACTTTTCCAGAACAGATTCAGTGTGGGTGTTGCCATGACAACCGAATTTGCCACTGATGCTCATACAGACCAACATGTTCCTTTTAACCCCTGCCACAAATTGCTAGCTAGTCCTTTGTGCATTTTGGACTAAGGCCACAATTAAAGTTATCCTATCATTCCACAGAATTATCCTCAAACTTTTCTAGTTCATGTGGTTAAATTCTAAGTACAAAATAAATTCATACTCAGTTGTTCATAAGAGACTGAGATCTGGATTTGCAATATTAGCACTAATAAAGAATCCTCCTAAATTCCAACAGGATCATAAGCACCAAAGGACCCTCAGTGATCATCTTACTCCAACATTATAGATGAAGAGGCTGGGACACAGATAGCTGGATGTTAATCCTGATTCTAAATAACTCAAAATTATTGATTAAATGATGATCACAAGAAATAAACATACAGAAGGATTACTGTATTATCCGCATCTTTGCTAGAGTATCACCTTGCCAATGAAAATCACAATAATAAAAATAACTCACTAACATCTGCTTGAGACTGGGTATGAGTTAGACATGTTTGACATAACAAGAACATCCGTGGAGTTGAAAGCTCAATGACCTTGTAGTCAGGCAGTCTAGAGTCACATCCTACATCTACCTCGAGAAGCCATTTAATCTGAGACTCAGTGACCCTACCATCTGTAAAATGGGGTTAACATCTACCAGGCAGAGAGCACTGTTTTATAATGTGTGTGAACAGTTGCTGACTCACAATAGGAGGCAATGAGTATTAGCTGACCCTGAATTTCAGAGAATAATTTTCTCTTGAAAAGTTAATGAAAGGAAAAGCATGAAATTCCAGATATAATCCCATTATAATACCTTCAAGATCTTTACCCATAATAGTTGGGGCTCACAAGAATGACTGCAAAAAGAAGGACCTCAAGGCTTGATAGGAACCAGTATCATTATGGAAGAATTTAAAATGCAACCAGTAAAGGAATATTGCTTTTAAAATGGGATGAAGTCTTTCTCCTTCCTGGAGAAATATGACTAAGTATGGGATAGTAAAACAAACATTTCACTGGGTTGGGTAGGTGAAAAATTGTTTACAACTTTTTTTTTTAACAGAATGGACAAAAAGTGTAAAACAGAAGGGGATAACACAATTATTCTTCATTCTGTATTTACACAGCATCACATAAGATCTTTGGCCTTCTTGCCTAAATGTACAGGAATAAAACTAACAAATATTTCTTTGAGTGTACACAAAGTAACTGATATTTAAGAATTAAAAGACAACTTAGTTTTTGTTTTTTTGAAAAAGATACCTCAAAGCAAGTTTTCCCTTTGTTTCATCTCCTTCCTCTCAGCTAGGGCCCTATTTCAGCAATTTCCTCTTTTTATGTGCCAGTCTGATCCCACTATACACATTCCTTCCCTGCTGTCTACAAACGTCTCCAAGCTTCCTCAACCTGAACAGTCTAAGAGTATGTCAAATCTCCTCTCTGCTTGATACTCCTCAGCCCTTCCTTCTTCTGTTTATCATCAAATGTCATAAAAGAGTAGCCAACCCAGCTGTCCCAACTTCCACAAATTCCATTCATGTCTCAAATTGACATGTGGCTTCCAGAGTCAATGTTCTACTGCAACTGCTCTCTCAGAGGTCAGCACTGGCCTCCTGAAGGCCACGTACAATAACCTATTCTCAGCCATCTTTGGATTGTCCTAGCTGCAGCATTTAGAGCTATTTGTGGTTCACTTATTCTTTTAAAAAAACCTCCCCTCCCTTAACCTCTAACACACAGCTGTCTCCTGGTTTTTCTAGTTTTCTGATCATTATTTTTCAGCCTTTCTTTTTTGTTCACTCCACCTTAGCTGCCTTCTCCTTAAAGCCTTGAGTAGATGGCACCGGTAAAGTAAACCAGTTCCATCCTAGAGGATCTGTGGGAAATCAGGTACAAATTACAATCCCCCACAAAGAGGTCCTAAAAATCCAAGAAGGCAGCCGACAGGACTCCGTCTCTTCTGCTTAGCAGGGCAGAGGTGTTTTGGGGGTCATTTATCTTTTGCCCTACAGCACCTTAAAGGCAGAGCTTAGCCTCAGACATCAGTATTTCCCAAGATTCTGTCCTAGGTCATCTTCTCTGGCTTTACATTTTCTCTATAAATGTTTAGCTACTCCCGGGTTTTGCCTATAACCTTGACTACCCCAAATTATATTTCCAACAAAAAATTCTTGCCTAAATTCCAGATCCTAATCTTCTTTTTAAATTTTCTGTGTCCCCCCATCTTCTCACATACCACCCCTACTTCAAAGGGTTCTGAGGCATGAATTTTTCATTTTCATGTCTGAATTTTCTTCAACACACACTGTGGAAATCCCACAGCTTTATAATCCATGACCAACAGAAATACAATGTGGGAAATGTGGAATATCCTTCTGTATTGCCACCTTACAAAATCTTCACTGCAATGGCCCAAATGCATGTTCTTCACAACCTGTAGATACCCTAAATTTATTCTAATATTACGAATTATATTTCTAAAAATAGGATACCTTGTCCTCAGGGTGTTGACCTCGGCTCAAATATTACAAAGAACATCTATAATCTCTCTCTTCCTTTTCAAAATCTTCATTTAAAAAACAAAACAAAACCCTAAAACTTCATTTTGAATGGAGCTGAGAGGCTGGCAGGGAGAGCTCTCACACTACCACTTGTAGCCAACTGCAAATCCAACAGGAAGGGATGGACTTCAGCAGATACTGTGTTACTATCCCATGAGGAGGAAGATGGGCTTTCCTTCTCCCCCAGCAAAATCCCAGCCAGTGAGAGACCATTACAACCCAGCCAGTGAGAAGCCACTATATTTTGAACTCCCCAGTTTACTCCAGTGGGCTTTTTGTTTATAACAGCCTTCCCAATGCCCTGCTTTTCTAAAAGAATGCTTTCCTCTCTTTTGTTCTGCAGACTTGCCTATGGTTTTGCCGTGGCTTGCTTGTCTTAGACAGCAATTCTCTGCTATTCTTGAACAAATCCATCTTTTGCCGTGGCTTGCTTGTCTTAGACAGCAATTCTCTGCTATTCTTGAACAAATCCATCTTTGCTGGTTTAAAAAAAAATCCCCTCCTTATCGTAGTTTAAAACAGGTAATCCATGTGCTATTTAGTTTGTCTAAAACTAAAGTTTGTCTAAAACTAAAGAATTTAGTCATCTTTAGGAAGGAGAAAGACTTCATCACATTTTAAAAGCAATATTCCTTTACTGGTTGCATTTTAAATTCTTCCATAATGATACTGGTTCCTATCAAGCCTTGAGGTCCTTCTTTTTGCAGTCATTCTTGTGAGCCCCAACAATTATGGGTAAAGAATTTTGCAGAGGCTTTTGTTAAAAAAAAGAAGTTAAAATTCTGCACCTAGAACAAGTTTTAACCAAGAGGTGAGGTTGAAACTATGCACCATTTTGTAGAGAATTCTATTAAGGCACTTGTATGTAGAAGTGAGCCAATCTCCACCAGGCATTTATACAATTAAATAAAAATACTGTGGAGGAAAATGAATCAAAGAGAGTAGGGTGTTTTTTTTTTATATACCCATCAGATGTCTCTACCTATAGAAAATGGTTATATAAACTTATATTGAATCATAAAAATTGACCAGATAATCCACATTTTTAAAAATAATTTAGTTCTGTAAGAGAAAAATATTATTCTTAGGAATGAGCTTATCAATAAATGAAAATTGAAAAGAAAGTTGAAAAACTAGCTGCTTGTCTGAAATGGTTTATTATTCCTTAGGAGAAAAAAGAAGGTACTTTTGTTGGATTATTTGTAAGATTCATCAAACACAATCATTTGCTGGAAATCTAAACCATCATTTAAAATATCACAGAGCAGGAAAAAACAAACTTACATCTCTTGATTACCGCTCTAATGGATGACAAGGGTCCTTGGCTAGAAAAAGAAAGAAAGAAAACATTATTGTATTCATTATCCTTTTGAAGAAGAATCTTTCAAAATGCCAGGTCATTTCTGGGACTCAATATGGCACCAAGCAGCAAGTCTGACATATTAGTTACTGGTTTATCCTCTTTACTACACATAAATTTAAAAAGTTTTTAAATTGCCTTTGATATAAAATGTTTTATGGGAAATGAGAAGGCTGGTGAAGTACATCTGCAGTTAAATAAAAATCTGCCTTAAAATTGCTTTCATAGTTACCTACACACAGAGTCTTCCAGTGATGTTTCATATGGTGCTTGAAATCCAGCAGCAATTGCATGGTAATCAAAAGAATTCTGATGTCCCTATGTCTCTTTTGTGTTTGACATGGGAATTCCTGTTTTCTTAGTTAATTTGACCTAAGGACTAACAGCATTTCTTCCCAAGATTAGAACTTAAAACATCACCACCTAAAAATAAAAGTCCTCTGGTTGCTTTGAGTTTTGTTCAATGGCTGATTGGTACTGGGGTTTTCCTGACTGTGTGACCTTGGACAAGTCACAGAAATGCTTCTGAGCCACTGTTCACTCACTGGTCAAACCATATAGCTGCAAAGGTTTATAACCACTAGTTTGTAAGGCTGTTTGTTCATTTTATCTTTATTCAAACCAGTTGGACTAATTGTTTTTGGATTCATTTAGAAAAACATACAAACCTAAAACTTTTTTAATGATATGATTTAGGAAAAAAAGCCTTCTTATTTATAAAACTCTTCATTTTCTTTCTGAATGCTCTTAAAATTTATACTTATTTTTTCCTTATTAAATTTATGCTGCTGTTACCTTTGGAAAGGAGGTTATTGTACTGACTGAGGAGGAACATGGGATTGTCTGGGTTGAACTGTCCCCCTTCCAAAAAAGATACATTGAAATCCTATACTCAGTACCTCAGAATGTGACCCTTTTTTGGAAATAGGGTCATTACAGATATAATTACTTAAAATGAAGTCCTACTGGAGTAGGGTGGTCCCCTAAGGCAAGCTGACTGGTGTCCTTAGAAGAAAAACCATGTGAAGATAGACACAGAGAAGAAAGGTACCATGTGACCATGAGGCAGAGACTGGAGTGATACAGCTGCAAGCCAAGGAATGCCAGATTGCCTACAAACCACTAGAAGCTAGCAAGAGGCCAGGAAGGATTCTCCTCTATGGATTTCAGAGGAGTGTGGCCCTGATGACACCTTGCTTTCAGACTTCTAGCCTCCAAACTGCTAGACAATAAATTTCTGTTGTTTCAAGCCACCTAGTTTGTGGCACTTTGTTATGGCAGCCCTAGGAAACGTGCGTGTGTGTGTGTGTGGCAGGGGGAGTCTTCTGGGTGTTGAGTAGATGTGATAATTCATTGAGCTGCATACTTTGTACATATAGGTTACACCTCAATAGAAAGTTGAGGAGGATAGGAGGGTGGTAGAGACCTTGGCACAAAACAGAATTTTTTTTAAAAAAGATTTTCTTTATTCATGAGAGAGACACACAGAGAGAGAGAGAGAGAGAGAGAGAGAGGCACAGACACAGGCAGAGGGAGAAGCAGGCTCCATGCAAGAAGCCCGATGTGGGACTCTATCCTGGGTTTCCAGGATCACACCCTGGGCTGAAGGCAGGCACCAAACCGCTGAACCACCCGTGTTGCCCACAAAATAGAATTTTGACTAAGATCAGCCCAAGTTCTACAATTCTCAAGCTTTACAGCATCATTATGTTTAGGCTAGCTCTATAAACCAACCAGCCAAACAACCAACCAACAAATCAATATCTTATGTCAAAAACAGTAATTTCCAAACTCTAAAGTTTAAAGTTCTCCTTTCTAGGTTAACAGGTTCTGTGGTAGGGAAAATAAAAAAGGAGGCCTATGGTCAAATACATCTCCATGGGAAGCAGTTTTAGGAGATGCTGGTGTTGTCTCTTGGCTCTGCAGTACATATAATTTCTGTATCTCAAATGTAGCTATGGATGCAAAAGATGACCCTTTTTTTCCTCCATCTGTATGCAGAACAAAGGCCATAGGTGAAAATTCTGCTCTGTATGTTTTTAAAAGATTTTATCTATTCATGAGAGACAGAGAGAAGAGGCAGAGACCTAGAGAGAGGGAGAAGCAGGCTCCCACCGGAGCCTGATGCAGGACTTGATCCCAGGACCCCGGGATGACACCCTGAGTCGAAGGCAGACGCTCAACCACTTAGCCACCCAGGTGTCCCCAAAGATTTTACTTATTTATTTGAGAGAGACACGTACTCAGTTTGGCAGCACATATATTATTTGAAAGAGACACAGAGCGTGAGCAGGGAGAGCAGGTTCCCCGCTGAGCAGGAAGCCTGAAGTAGGGCTCAATCCCAGGACCCTAGGATCATGACCTGAGCCCAAAACAGACACTTAATGGATTGAGCCACTCAGTTGCCCCTCCACTCTGCAGTCTTAAGAGAAACCCTCATGGAAATTCTCCATCAGCATGACCTCAGGTTCGTGTCTTAGCTGGGCACCTCCAGGAAGGATGGCCATTGTGGGACAGTAGGCATGGCCACAGAACCACTGATCAGAGGAGGAAGCAGTAGAGTCGGGTGGTTCAGAGAGCTAGTTCTAAAATCCAATCGTTCGTTTGTACTCCTGGTGCCTCCACTTGCTAGCTAGTGTGATTTTGTGCAAATTACTTAGCTTCTCTTCTTGTTTCCTCATGTATAAAATACATGTACTTAACCTAGTCCTTGCCCTTGGCAGAGCTGATCTAGAGATTCTGCCCTTCAAGTTTTGCTGCCTCTATTTTTGGGTGCCCTTGTTTTTGGTGGGAGAGATAAAACCACTCCTGACACATGACAAAGACCCTTCCAGGAGGGAAATGGAGGGTTATGGGACACAGCTTTCAGATTCTGAAAAGTACCAAAAGCTGAGGTCAAGACAGAATAGTGTCAGGACTAATTCCTGATGATTTCTCTTCCTCCAGGACTCTGGGGGCACTCCCTAGCTATTCAGAGTCCCCTTCTATCCTTTTTTCCCCACTCTTATAATAAGCCCTTTTCAAGTCTGTGTAGTAGAGTCACTGTCTACTACTGCTTTTACACATAGCCTTAGTATTATTAAGGTGTTTTTAAGAAAGAAAATTGTATCTGAAAAGAGTTTCCTAACCTAATGAAATGAATTTTTAATATGGTTTCAACAATGAAGATGATGATGAAAACCACTTATTATTATATGTGCCAAACACACAATCTTTTTTACAAATGAGGAAAATAAGGCGTAGAGGTTAGGTATCCTGTCTACAGTCACATAGCTGGTAAGTGGCAGAACCACATGTGAATTTACAGTCCAGAAGTCCATGATTCATGCTTGAGTGGATGGGTAAAAGTTTCTAGATGCTTTACAAAGTTCAAAATACAGGCAAGTACCCTCAAGCATAAAGCTAATCCAAAAAATTTCAAATTGGAGTCTCATCCAGACTCTGTAGATGCAGGAGAAAACAATAAATGTTGCTAGGTATGACATTTTGATATTGTCAAAAACAAGAAAGCAAACCATAATGGTTACTCTTAATCTCACCTAAGAAAACCCAACCTCTCTTTTTTATTTTGAATCATGATTTATTTATCATAATGAAACATTCTAAAAAATATTTATACAACTTTCAAAGCAACAGGTTATTTCCAGGTTTTAAATAATTTCCCTGCCTCCTCTCTTTGGTGAAGAAAAACTATTTCCAAAACCAGTAAATGAAATTGCTGGATTTGGCGAATTTGGTGTACAACACCTACAAGTGCCCATCATAATCACATCTGGTTTGGGAGTTCCTTCTCTGTACAGAGGCAACTGAATATATTGTCAAAAATACATTCTTTGTAAAAACACTTGATTAAAACCATGGGGACATCATTAAAGTACTAGTCAGTGAAGTTAGCATTAGCTTAAGCTAATGAAACCTAAAGGCGTAGCCCTCTGATCAAGCTGGTAAACCTGCCAGTGAGCATAAAGTTTATCTCTTTGTACCATTTTCTCCAAAGACTCTCAACATTTGGACTGATTCATCTCCATTTCCTAGCAGAAAGGTTTAACCAGGTTTGTGTAATTTTTGCAGGCTGGAAGAGGTATTTTGTTTCATCCATTCTCATATAACCAATGCTTACTACATATATAATATGTAATATTACACATCGACCCATTCATACATACATACATGCATACAAGGCACTAGGAATGCCCTGAAAGCACTAGACTTTGCTGTCAGTAAGAAAGACAAATATTGCAACTGCCTTTCCATTAATAGTATGTAGGTGTAGGCACAAGGTGCTATGGATGTAAAGAAGGTATATCACTCGATGTTGGGGTCTTAAGGAAAGGCTTCCAAAATGTGGCATGTGTATTGACTGAGACTGAAGAATGTGAAGGAGGAGAGGTTCTGAATAGGGGGTGTCAAGCAGCATGTGCAACAGAAGATTAGGAATGAGAGAGACAGCTGAACATGGTTTGAGCACAGCATATAAGGAAGCTATGGGGGGATCCCTGGGTGGCGCAGCGGTTTGGCGCCTGCCTTTGGCTCAGGGCGCGATCCTAGAGACCCGGGATCGAATCTCACGTCGGGCTCCCGGTGCATGGAGCCTGCTTCTCCCTCTGCCTGTGTCTCTGCCTCTCTCTCCCTCTCTCTCTCTCTCTCTGTGTGTGTGTGACTATCGTAAATAAATAAAAATAAAAAAAAATAAGGAAGCTATGGTAAGACAGAAGGGACTGGAACTCAAATGCCATGCCAAAGTAAGAACATTGCTATAAAGGAAAGTGCTGATGCCAGGCATCACCAGCCAGGTTAAATACTCAGAATCTATGCGTCAAGGATATGACAGCAAAGTGTCTCAAAAGTAAGAATTTATCTGGGACATCTCCCTAGAACAAGCATTGCTGACTGTAGCTGGTCTGTTTGTACCAACCATGGTATTTGTGGCATGCCTGCTTTTAAAAAGAGCATTTATGAATAAAC